TTGGCTGTTAAGGATTCGCTGGCTCTCAGTGTTCAGTGTGCAGGTTCTGTGTCTAATATGGCCCAACGCCTATTTGCTCGAACCCGCCAAGTTGAATCATTGGCGGCTGAAGTGATGAGTCTCAAACAGGAGATTAGAGGGCTCAAGCATGAGAATAAAACAGTTGCACCGGCTCGCACATGACTATGCTACAAACATGAAGAGGAAGCTTGACCAGATGAAGGAAACTGATGGTCAGGTTTTTACTTGATCATCAGAGATTTGTGGGTTTGTTCCAAAGGCATTTATTGCCTTCGTCTTCTGGGGCTGTACCGCGTAATGAAGCTCCAAATGATCAACCTCTGATGCCTCCTCCTTCTAGGGTTCTGTCCAGTACTGAGGCTCCAAATGATCCCCCTCCGGTGCCTTCTCTTTCTGGGGCTCTACCGACTGCTGAGACTTCTCCTAAGCAACCTGTGTGAAGGCTCCCTCTTGTGTGTTTATTTTGACTCATGTATATGTACATATTTGTAGCTTATCGGGGATATCAATAAATAAGCTTTCCTTCATTTCAACGTATTGTGTTAGATACACCAAAGCCTTCTTCGCTAAGTTCTTTGAATTTTCTTTTGTTGAAGCTTGTATGTTGAAGCTTTCTGAGTGGAGCATGTAGGTTGGGTAGTGTTCCCTTAATTTTCCGAGTAAGGAAAACTTCTCGGTTGGAGACTTGGAAAATCCAAGTCACTGAGTGGGATCGGCTATATGAATCTTAGAACGCCATTGTGCTCGATCCTGTGTCATGTCCTTCGTTAGATCCAAGTACTCTAAGTCTTTTCTTAGAGTCTCTTCCAAAGTTTTCCTAGGTCTTCCTCTACCCCTTCGGCCCTGAACCTCTGTCCCATAGTCGCATCTTCTAATCGGAGCGTCAGTAGGCCTTCTTTGCACATGTCCAAACCACCGTAACCGATTTTCTCTCATCTTTCCTTCAATTTCGGCTACTCCTACTTTACCCCGGATATCCTCATTCCTAATCTTATCCTTTCTCGTGTGCCCACACATCCAACGAAGCATCCTCATCTCCGCTACACCCATTTTATGTACGTGTTGATATTTCACCGCCCAACATTCTGTGCCATACAGCATCGCCGGCCTTATTGCCGTCCTATAAAATTTTCCCTTGAGCTTCAGTGGCATACGGCGGTCACATAACACACCGGATGCACTCTTCCACTTCATCCATCCAGCTTGTATTCTATGGTTGAGATCTCCATCTAATTCTCCGTTCTTTTGCAAGATAGATCCTAGGTAACGAAAACGGTCGCTCTTTGGTATTTCTTGATCTCCGATCTTCACCCCTAACTCGTTTTGGCCTCCATTTGCACTGAATTATTTCAAAGTAATCAAATAAATTATTTTCCACCAATGAGCACAATATAAAGTCACATTCCCTATCACTTGAAGCCTTTCGTTACTATATATGAACCTTTCTTTTTTAAATCTTAGAGTGGTAAGCCTTATATATGGTGTCACGCACGGGCATGAATTGCGGTGGGAAGCTCAAACTTTAACATGGTATCAAAGCATTCATTCGACGTGTCAAACCCAACTTCTACATCAATAATCAGTCACATTTTTGGTAATCATTTCTATTTCTCAAACAGTCAAAACGCAGATTGAAACTCAGATGAAAAGTAAACAAAATTCAAGAAGGAACTGAGAGAATAAAAGCACAAAATCAAAACTTTTCTACTCTTAAAAAGTTAACAGACTTTAAGCCTGTAAATTGAAAAACGATGTTATACCTGAAGATTATACTTTGTTCTTAGGGCACTGCGGTAGCCACAAGCATAACATGCAACAAAGCATCCCGGTATGCCCAAAAACAGGCCCTCAGTCAATAAGCAGCAGGCGGTATTAACAAGTGCCCACAAAATAAAATGAGTCATGCATGATCCTAACAATGTCCCAGAACCCAGAAATTCTGCATTCTTTCCAAACAGAAAGCAAGGACAAAATAGACCTACACAACCTGTAAAAAAAAATTCGGCAATCAGATGGTCGTCATTGGTTTGAAAGCCATAATCTGGAGACATGATGGATGAAGCTCCTGCTACTGTTACGAACATATTTAGCAGTGGTTGTGTACCTAAGAAGCAAATGTTACAACTTATCGTGATAAACAAAAAAATATAAACAAGTCAGATTACCCTCTTCCCATGTACATCCTCCTCTAACGTATTCAAAACATTATCATCTATTTATTCACCACTAACAACACAGAGTATATACCAACAACCAATGCTTTACCTCACATCAGACTGGATATCGCATCCTTAAAATGAGGTTTAAAGTACTTAATATATGGGTCTTATTAATAATCTTTATCCAAATTTTGTCCATGAAAAATTCAAGGTGTTAGTTGATCAACGTACACATCATAAGTTCTGTTATTCTAACCTACTGTTGTCTTCATGTTCTCGTCAAGTTTGATGGGATAGTATATACTGTTTGATCTATAAAAAAAATCCGTGCATGGTTACTCGCCTAAAATCTAGATATTGCAATGGCTTCTAACTAACACAGAATGAATACCAATCACAAATTCAGACATAAAAGAGGTCCTCCACATATTGAAGAATACTTAGAGAACATTACAACAACAACAACATCAACAACAAAGCCTTTTCCCACTAAGTGGGGTCTGCTAACTTAGAGAACATTAATGCATAAAAAATAAGAGGCAAGCATATAGTAACCTATAGGGTTAGTTATATAATTCAAGTCCTCTCCTAGCCTTGCTTAAAGAATCCTCGTAAAATTCATGTATAATGACAACAGGCTAATTTTCGTTTTCCCTACTCAAGAAGGCACCTTCATAATTTTCCTTCTGATAAATCAAGGTCACAAAGCAGAAAGTAGCGTACAGCTCTGCATATCGTCACAGCAAGCGCAGATTCCAGAAGACCATTGTTTGGGCCCGTCAACGCTGTTCTGCTGATTAGGCGGGTCTTCATTTCGCAAAACAATCGCTGATTCAGAATCCGACATTCCCAACGGAATGTAAGCAGGTGGAGCGTAACTGCTTTGGCCTTTCATCTTCTTCCTGGTTACACAAATGATCTGTACCAGTACCCAAAAGCACTAGAAACGGATAAAAAAGAAAAAGAAACAGAGTCAATGAATGTGCAATCCCACAGATCTCAACCAGTCACAAAAACACTTCTATTAAGAATTAACCAACAAACACGAAAGCGAAACAGACACAATGTGAGAGGGAGAGAAATCATCAGTGGGGGCGGCAACGCTTTTGTCAAGATTTCAAAGAGTCAGACCAGCGGCCCACTACTAATCACGCAAACTTATGGGGCTTCATCACAAAAAAAGCCCCGGTATCATTAGGAGCGGAAGCATTCGTTACATACTGTAATTTATTTGGTCAATTTTCGATGTGGGATTCTTGTATTCTTCAACACATACAAATGCTAAGATTGAAACTCTTGAGTAACAAATTCAACGAATTCGAACACAAAACAAAGCATCAAATCAAAAGTTCGGATTTTGGACACAAAATTTGAGATTCAGAGCTAGGATTTAGATAAGAAATCAAGCTATATGCCATGCCCAACATAATTACATATGAATTAGGAAAATAAATAATAAAGAAAATTGAGAGCGAAGAACAATGAAGAAATGGGTAGAAATCGGAAAATAAGATTCTTACCGGGCCGGCTGAGTCGGTGGTGGAGGAAGGAATAGTAGCGCCGACGATCCGCCTGTTCTGTTCGGTGGTTGAGAGAATGGAAATGATGGGAGCTAACCGGGTCCGAGTCGATTGGAAGAGAACCTGGAGTTGATTCCGTTGCTCAAATTACCTTTTTGGGCTTTGACTTAACTAACCTTTTTCTTGATTGAAATTTAGATATACGGCCGTACTATTTAAGGAGTTTTAACGGAATATTTCGGCAATGTTTATTTTTAACGAAAATGATATTTTTACTTTTAAAACGTCATTTTTTGTACTATTTACTTACAATTAAAACTTAAAGTTTTCAAACTATTTTTATTAGTTTTCCTTATTATTTAGTGTCACTTGATATTACCATATAGTTGTGTTTGTTGAAATAATTTTATTATCTAGTTGTATCATTAATTATAACATCTTTCTAATAGAGATAGAATCCACATGTGTTATAAAGATGATACAATTTTTTTTTTTAACAAAAGATGGTATCTAAACTAAGAGTATTGGGGAGTGGGCTAAAACCTCACGATAGACTAGTCATAATAATGTGATTCAAATTCGTTTTTAGTGAGTATTGAACCCAAAGATACAATTAAGTGGTAAATATAACATTACTCTTTTTTCAATTAAAAATAATGCAGGGTTGAAAAGTTTGGAGGGTTAGCTTTGTGGGAGGGTTAAATGTGGGAACCCGGATCCTTTATGTGAGGATCATGAGGATCCGTCAATCATATTCATTTATTATACATCGTGCAGTTAGAAATTATTTTAAGTATTTTATTTAAAATTAAACACAAACAGTACTTGATAAAATTGATCATACAATGTACAATAAACGGACACAATTCACGAATATCTAAGATGCTTAGTAACAAAGATAGCCTTCATGTTCAAGATAGGTTTGGACACATTTTCACATATACCGTCAAGTAAGTCAACCGAAAACAACACACTTTTCACGAAAACGAAACAATAAACACAAAAAAACATGAATATATAAAAAGAAGAAAAAAAAGTATTTAATCATCATTTGTCATGCATTCTTTTATGGGCACTAGAGTAATTAAACCCTTCTTTTTTTTTTCTCTTTTTTTTTTCTTTTTTCTTTTATCAAAATAACCTTCTTTTTTTCCTTCTTTACGTAGATACGAGATTTCTTAGGTCTAATTCTCTTAAAAGTAAACTTGATATCTTTTGTTAAAAAATAAAATAAAATAAAATAAAAAATAAAATAAAGAGAAAATTCGGGAGGGTATAATGGGGAAAGGGGAATTTTCTCCTGAAAATGAACTGCGAACCGCGAAGCATGAAGAGAAAGGAAGCGGCTATGGCGATGCCACGACGTTGAATAACCCAACCCTTCATTCACCAAGACGAAACGAATTTATAAACCCTAGTTCCTCAATCCCCAATTCCCAACTTAAAAAATCGAATCCTAATTACAAAGAAAACGAATTGATCGATCGAGAAAAATTATCAAAAACGAAATCATGGATCACTACAAGGTATTGGGGCTGGCGAGGAATGCGAGCAAAGCCGAAATCAAGGAAGCGTTCAGGAAGCTGGCGGTGAAGCTACACCCAGACAAGCACTCCGCATCCCCCAAGGCGGAGAGAGACAGAGCCACCGTCCGATTCAAGCAGGTCTCCGAGGCCTACCAGGTCCTCATCGACGATCGCAAGCGCGCCGAATACAATTTCCAGAGCTCTCACCGCCCCCACAACAATTACAATACCTACACTCGCACTTACAATTACGGTTACGGATATAGTGGTGGTAATAGTTACAGAAGAGGCGGTGGCTCCGGAGCCGCCAGTGGAGCTTCCTCCGCCTTTGAGAATTTTCTCCGATATGTCACCACGCGCGCTTTCCTTCTCAATGTCTCCGTCGCAGGGTAGGGTAATTTTTTTTCCTATTCACTTGTCTGTAAATTTCCGCGGCTGATTTTTACAGTTTTTCTATTGAATTAAAATGATTGAAAACTTTGTAGATAAAATGTTTTTGAGTTCTAAAAGCATCAATTATGTGCTTCTTACCGAAAGTATTTAAATGTTTTTTCAAAATTTACTTGCATTTTAACTAAAAATTGATTTCAAAAATATTTTTACTAAAAGTATTTTCAGTTATTTTAAAAGTATATATCAAGTTCATTTGAAACAAATATAACGAATGTGAAAAGAGTGATGGTTGTGCACTACCTAACTGTCTCCTTTTTTTGTAATTCGGTTTAAGATCGGTAGCATAAGATTGTACAGGCAGAACTTATTTGTAATATTCTATGCTATAAAAAAAAGAACTTTAACAAAAAGTTCTGGTACGGTTCACTTTAACGAAAAACCATATTTTTACACTAAAATGTCAATCTTGGTACTATTCACTTTATCCTTTATTTTGTTCTTATCATTAAAACTCAAAGTTTTCAAATCATTTTAATTAGTTTTCGTTAATAAAAACCCATACATTTGCCCGATGAGATGAACATGGAATTATATTGAACCGTGCCCAATTCGGCATTTGGTTAATCAGTGTACTATGTTGGGTAAATTTCTCTTTGGAAATGCTTCATTGGAAGATAAATTTTATGCAGGGCTTGCTTAGGTGGTATAGCAGTTGTTAATTTGGGCTGGGATGCCTTATGGAAGATGCATAATCATGAGGTACGTTGCTTCTTCTTGTTCCTCTTTCGCCCTGGTCTTTCGTTTTCTCAATTCAAGCTTTCTCTAATTTTCGTTTATATAATGCTGTCGGTATCCGTCGATTGTATGTCTATAGAAATTGAGCCTAAAATCGTCGAACGAATCATTCCAACATTGTGTCACTGACATGCTTTTCATTTGCATTCAGAAATCATTTGAAGAAGCCATGAAATCCGTTCGAAAAGCCAAAGCACGTACAGAGAAGCCGTAGGAGCCGTTTGCTGAAATCACCACAATTACGTGCAGATAAAATCAGAGTTCTGATTAGTTTTTGAGGCCAGAGTATGTCTCATTCAAAGTATTTGTATGATATATCTATGCTTGATTCGTTATTTTTTTGTTCTTCTCCGCGATAATGTACTTTGTTCGTGTCGATAGAAGATACATTACAATAATCGGAACACTTCAGTTATGTATTCGGGTTATGTATCATATATAGAAAATTTTCCTGAGGTATCATTGTACGCATAAACCAAAGTGCTCTTGTACAAGCACAAATAAAAGCAAAGTTCTTGTTAGTTTCTGAAGATCAAGTATGTCACTTTAAGGTAGTTGCATAATCTATCGATGTTTGATATATTGTTTCCTTCGATTTTCATTTTTACTCTTCGGTGTTGAATTTATTTCCGTTCATCTTTAGTTTATACCAATCTTTTATTTGGCTGTACTGGTGTAATTAGCTTGTTATGTTATTACAATTGTATGAGGATTGGTGGACAAGTGATGCCAATTTTGCCGCCGGCGGCCTTGCACTCTTGGTTTCTTGGGGTACAAGAGTCACTGATGTCACAGGTATCCAGTAGATCTGATTTGATGCATTCTCAAGGTTAGTGTTTTTAAGTTTAGTTCTAATCGTCCTTTTTCTTTCTTATTATCTTCCCAGCCAACCCGAGAAGGATGAATATGTAAGGATCGAGGCAGCAGGAGTCGAATGGACACTGATTCAGGAGACAAGGTTTTTACTTACCATGTACTGTTATCATTTCTTGTGCTTGTACAAAAGATGGGAATGGGATACACAGGAAACTTTAACGAAAAATTCCTGGTACTATTCACTTACAACACATTTTTGTCATTTTCATTAAAACTCAAAGTTTTCAAGTCATTTTCATTAGTTTTCCTTGCATATTTGTGCTCGGCTAGAAGGAAACCCTAGCCCGATCACGTGCAGTATCTTGACAGACTATGCTCTCCTCTCCTCTCCTGTATTCTGCTTGTCCAATCGTCCTTTTTCTTTCTCCTTAGTCCTAGTCGTCCTTTTTCTTTCTTGTTACTTTCCCAGCCAACCCGAGAAGGATGAATATGCAAGGATCAAGGCAGCAGGAGCCGAAGGGACACTGATTCAGGAGACAAGGTCTATATTACCTTACCATATACTGTTATCATTTCTTGTGTTTATACAAAATACGGAAATGAGATACATATTTGCGCTCGGCTAGAAGGAAACCCTAGCCCGAGCGCGTGCAATATCTTGACAGATTATTCTTTCCTCTCCTCTATTCTGCTTGTCCAACTGCTTGCGGTTGAGCGTCATCGGCAGCGACCTCAGTTTTCTCATCGGCATTTGTAGTTGTTTGCTCTGCTACAAGCTGCCCGACCTTGTCATATTTTTCGATGAATTTATCTTCCCAATCCTGTAGTATGCCAAGTTCATCAGGCCCCAGACCTTCGAGATTGCCGTTTATGTCTTGGGGTTTAAAGGACAGAAGAGCCAGCGCTCTGCTTGCTTCCCTTCCAGCAAACATGGCGTACGCTCCTCCTGGTCCGTAAAAGTTCCTGCATTGCATGTTGTAATTTGCTTCAAATTATGATCTTCATTTGCACTGAAATTGCCAATTTGTGTTCGCTTTTCTAAAATCTGAACAAGCTATTAGAGGATAAATAATAACAATATCTCCATAAAATTTGGATACTCGGATTAAAAATCCGTAAAATTTGTTCGAATTCGACAAAGGAAGTGATTTTTGCACTCTCTTTTATCTTCATGCTGAGGAAATTGGCGAAGTGCGAAAATCAATTTCCTTTTGACCAAGTGTGTAGCTTTGGTCGTTGACGTTAATACGAATTTCCGTCAAATTAAGCACAAGCTGTCACATGATTAAAAAAACATGTGCAGTTATAAGATTTACTAAAAACCGGTTTAATAACCATTTAGTTTTCAGTTTTTATTAACTTTATTTATTGACGATAATAAGAATTTCCGTCAAAATTAAGTGTGTGTCATCACATGCCTAAAAACCAAGTGTAAGTTACAAAATTTGACCGCTTGGTAACTATTTCGTTTTCAATTTATATATGTACTGTTAAATGGCAAGTTACTGTCCTTATTTTTGACGAAAATTCTAACGGAATTGGCGTGAAAGACCAAAAGGTCCCGGTTTGTTTTTATAAATTTCAATTAAGTGCAAAATGAAGGAAGGAAAGAGAAGCAGGGAAAGTACCTGGAGGAAGAGACGTCGTATATCTGAGCTCTGATAGCCATAAGCAGCGGCTTATTGGGGTCGGACCCGTCGTACTCTCTCAGCTGCTCCTCCGTCATGTCTCCCATCTGGACCGACGAGCCTCTCGCTGCCCCCGCGGAATTGAAGTATTTATTCACAAAATTGGATTTGGAATCAGAATCGACGGTGTCGATGGTCGCCGCCACCGGAGGCTTGTTGTAATCTTCGGGACCCACAAACATGCCGGTGACTATTCTGTAAACCACGACCATCATCCCGGCGATTGTGAAGAAGGCCGCCGGTGATAGTCCGGTGTACCGCCCTATCTCCTCCATCACTGCTCCGTATAATCCTTCCATTTCTTTCTCCCTCCTCTCTCTCTCCTTCTACTTGGAATTTGTGTTTGTGTTTGTTGCTGCTCCAACTTCTTATTTTTGGCCAATTTACTACTACAACTTCACCTACCAATTTCAGGCTCACCCACCTACTCCTCTACTCCTGTACTTTTTCTTTAGTTCTACTTTATTGTAGATTGGTGGTGTTGAAATCAATTTTCTTTTTGAAACTTAAAATAAAAGAAATCGGATTCTACGATTTAGTACTACCGTAATGATATTCTTCTTTATTTATAAATAAAATGTCATAAATTCGATTCCGTTAAAAAAATGAATTTATATCATATTATTAATATCTTATTGTGAGGTTTGCGCATCTCATATTCCTTAATGTAAATAATATCGTTTATTTCAAAAATAAAAAGCCGAATTCTCTACTAATATTGACCACAAGCTACATTCTATACTAATTTAACGGAAATTGATTTCAACTTAGAGCGTAACGGGTTGAAGAATAAAATTCTAACTAGCAAGGCAATCCACTTGTTGCTAACTTTATTACTCAACGAACCAAATTAATTTAGAAATTCTTACACTTGGTTGATTACTAAAAGAAAACTTTTAAGTAAATGAATCACACGTTGAATAATAATTGTAATCGTTTGATCAAATTTTAATAGTCTAAATCATTTAATCATGAAACTCAGATTTTTAGATCCGGAAAGGATCTGGTTCCATTTTTACCAAACCTATTCCATCCTTCATAAATTCTATGAAGTAAATTACCAAATTTCCGTCAAATTGACTTAAAAAAAAAAAAAAAAAGTTTTCTAAAAGAAAAGTAAGTATACAAGTACATGGGTTTTTCCACCGTCTACTCTAAATTGAATGAAGAGGGAGAGGGACAAGCTCACAGATTGACTTGGCTCGGAAGAAGAACAACTTCCTTGCTGCTGCGTAGGGCTGGGACGAGGGTCTGAAGTGAAAGGCCTCAAATTTACAGAGCATGGTGTGGTGTGAAAAGGGGCCGTGATATGTGAGAACTGAAATTTTACCTACTTACCATTTTTTCTAGGGTTTATGAAAAATGGGTTTGATGGAAGGGAATCTGATTGCTCTGCAATTGGTTGCGCCTCTGATTGTTTGGTTTCTGCTGGGTGCATGCGATTCACAAAGGGTAAGAAAATTATGGTAATTTATTTATTTTTTAAATATTTTTCTCTTTAATCTCAACTGTTAAGATGCTTTACATTGTGGATTCACGTATTGAAAGCTACACTATCATTGTTTAGGTGCATAACGAGCCGATTCGCAGGTATTTGGTTACTTCTGGAACTGAAGAAGGTAAAGGTGTGAGTAACCCTTTTCAGCTCAAGTTCTAAATTTTACTTTAGAAATCCTAATTGTTTATAGAAATTTCACTTTTTCGCTTTGCGGAAATGGGTATTTTGAGTAGATAGTAGACGATAGTTGAACAAAAACCAGCCTTCATTTGTGTATAATGTGGTACCTTTCGAAGGATGGAATATTGTTTATCACCGTTAAAAGTAAAAATGCTTCTCGCGAACCTCTAACAATGCATTTGGTTGACGAAGTTTAAGATTCTAACGAGGCATTCAATATTATGTTACTTGTATAGAACAATTGGAGCTGTGACTGCTGAGGTCTGAGATGCATAAAACATGCTATTCTGATAGATAGGATACTTAGGATATAGAAAATCAGCTGAGTTATGCAAGGCACAAGAAGATGCATGTAATTTGTCTCTAGAAACGAATAATCTTAATGCTCCTAAAACCGACAGCGTACTGTTATACCATGGAAATTAAAGGTGTTGGATATATTGTTACCTTATAAGCTGCGTTAGTGAGCATTCTATTTGACAGCATGCTGGTAGTGAGCATGTTGATCATGTTTCGTTGTGTCAAGGGTGTTATTGTTAAAAGAGATTGCATTATAGTCTATATGCGTTTATAATCAATATATTATGTTCAATTGCTTGTGAACAGAACCATGCCCTGCTGGTTGGATTCTTGGACCTAATAGGAGGAAGTGCTTTGGTTATACGAGAAGCCCCCAACCATGGAATGAGTCAGAAACCCATTGTAAAAGTTATAATGGCAACTTAGCAGCATTCAAAACATCTCAAGAACTTGCGTTTGCCCAAAATCTATGTGCTTCCAGTGGCTGCTGGGTTGGAGGCAGAGGTGTGAACTCTACCATTGGTCTTGGCTGGAATTGGTCTGATAATACTTTGTATTGGAATGGGTCTCTCTTTCATGTGCAACCTCTTCAGTCAATTTGCAGTAACATCTCTTGCCACACCAATAGTTCGGTCGATGTATGCATATTGGTGACTAATAGATCCACGTCTCTCTTGGCTGAAAGATGCAATACGTCTCATGCTTTTATATGCATGGTTGATTTAGGTATATTTTGTAATTTTTTATTACGAACTCCAATCTTGAATTATCTGTCCAGCTAATTTAATTTTGCTCCTGTTGCTTTCAGGGAACAGATGTTACCACATGCATTGCCACAGAGAATATCTTATTATCCTTGGAGTAGTAAGTGGGTTGATTCTCTTCACAACATTAGCTGTAGTGATTTGGCTTCTTGCATACAAGCGTAGCAAGAAGCGCAGACGTTCCCGCAAACTATCTAATCCAGCAGAAACTGCATTAGTCACTCCGTCATGGAAAGTCTTCATGAAAGAGGAACTAAGGTCAATTACAAAGAACTTTAGTGAAGGAAACCGTCTTCTGGGAGATGCCAAGACGGGAGGCACGTACAGTGGAATTCTTCCTGATGGCTCAAGGGTGGCTGTTAAGAGGTTGAAGAGATCTAGTTTTCAAAGGAAAAAAGAGTTCTACTCTGAAATTGGAAGGGTTGCAAGGCTTCACCACCCAAATTTGGTGGCTGTGAAAGGCTGCTGTTATGATCATGGTGATCGCTTCATAGTTTATGAGTTCATAGTTAATGGACCCTTGGATAAATGGCTGCACCACATACCTAGGGGTGGTCGAAGCTTAGATTGGGCCATGAGAATGAAAATTGCCACAACTCTTGCTCAAGGAATTGCGTAAGTTATACATCACTTTTTCCTCTTGGTCTTAGGTCAAACAAAGATCTAAAATCTGAGACTGATTTGTTCACTTAGATCTTTTATCTCTGTTGCATCTATTTCAAGGCATCTTATGTTCGTGATAGTTCTCATTTCTCCGAGAGGTCACTATCATTGTTCACGTAAATTAGAAATCATAATATTGTGTAGATTTAAATCAAATGGGAAATTCTCAAATTACCTCCTGAACTTTTGATCGAGTTGCAATTTTTCACCTGGAAAGGAAAAGATCTGTTAAAAATATATAAAAATTTGACATAGGTTATTGTTTATTAGGGATTTTTCATGGTTAGATTAGAATATATCTCGACTCTCGCATCTATTTTTTTCGGAAACATTTTGTTTCTGATATGGCTTTCCCATGGCTGCTTTCATACATTAGTGTTAGCTTGGACGTTTGCCATACATTTCTGATGTGGATTTCCCTTGCTAGTTTACTTCGGTGGCTTTAGTGTTGGTGGTTATGCCATCATTGTCAATCCTCATTTTTGTTTCTTGTTTCGCTGAAAATTGTCAATCCTTATTTCATTAGTACATTTCTACCTTGGAATGCAATGGGAAGGATTTGAATGATGCAGAATGGATTGTGTTTAATTGGTGGTTCATCCGTTCATATGTCAAACAGGTTCTTGCATGACAAGGTAAAACCGCATGTCGTGCATCGTGATATCCGTGCCAGTAATGTACTGCTTGATGAAGATTTTGGAGCACATCTAATGGGGGTTGGTCTGTCAAAGTTTGTACCATATGAAGTGATGCACGAGAGGACAGTGATGGCTGGTGGCACGTACGGGTACCTTGCTCCAGAATTTGTCTACAGAAATGAGCTTACGACAAAGAGTGATGTTTATAGCTTTGGTGTGCTGCTACTTGAGATTGTGAGCGGACGTAGACCTGCACAGGCCGTTGATTCGGTGGGTTGGCAGAGCATTTTTGAGTGGGCAACACCTCTGGTGCAGGCTCATCGCTACCCGGATCTCCTGGACCCTCATATAACTGTTTCTTCTCCTGAGATTCCGGAGGCTGGTGTCATTCAAAAGGTGGTCGACCTCGTCTATGCCTGTACACAGCATGTCCCATCAATGCGCCCGAGGATGTCTCACATTGTTCATCAACTTCAACAGTTAGCCCAGACTCCTGTTCTAAAGTAGTTTAATTTAGCTTCGGGCTAGTATTTATCCGTAATTCTGTACAATAATGAGAGTTTGTAATTTGTAATTTGTAATTTTTATTCTCCAGTTGGTTAGGAGCCATAACCGGAATATAAGGTTTAGGGTTTAGCACTCTAGAGGCCATAAGTTCTATGTATTCAGTATTTAATCATAATTATCTGTCTCTGGCAAGTTTTGTCGATATTTAACCAATGTCGGAAATGTTGACAAAATTTGTCGATTTTAGTCGAATTTAAGAGTTTCTTTGACGTAGGGCTTAAGCCCCTTTTCATATCTTTCTTTGATTTTTCCAAAATTTCCTTAGAAATGTTGACCATTTCAAAGAAATTTCAAACATTGCTTGCAACAAAACAAGAAATCAGGTTATTCTTGTATTGTAGTGGCAGGAAACCCCTAACGTCAATCCACGAGGAAATTCGACAAATCAAACTAAATATGTAAATGAATGTTTCCACTCCTATAAACACCAAGGCTTTTTGCATAAAACCTCATGCCTGACTATGGAAGCGTTTTTGCATAAAACCTCATGCCTGACTATGGAAGCGATTCGGTTTGGGACAATGTCAGTGTTGGACTAATTAACAGTTGGCCGTTGGATAGCCTATGTGAATGTAATCGTATTCCAAGTCTATGTTGTCACATGTTTAATTACTCACATGACACCACAAAAGAAACCGTCATTTTGATATTTCAGTTGCGTGTAAGTTACTTACGTAATTACGTAATTACGAGGTCACAATCGCTAAATTTTGGATTATCAAAATGTGGCCACTCGTTCCCCTAAAAGAAAAAGAGCCGTTAAAAAAAGAGAAGAAATTGTAATATTGAGTTTGCTTGAGGAAAAATTCAACTAACGGTCCTAAACCTGCTCTCCGTCCACCATCGTAAATCCCAGACGCTCGTCTCCAATTCGTCCACGTACTCACCTTTCTTCTTACCTGACATCTGCTGGTTAATTTATAATAATTCAGGCCAAAATAATTCTTTAGAAATAAAATAAATAAATAATTTGAAAAAGAAAAGATTAGAAGGGATAATGCTAATACGTTTTTGTTCCTTTTTTTCCCTTATTTATCGAATCCAAAATCTGTTATTTTGCCATCATTCTGTTATTTTCCCATCATTCTATAAATAATATTATTATTATTAAATAAGGAAAAAAAAAGTGATAGGAATTTTCAGATGGGGGAAATATTAAATGGATATTGATTTCGATATTTGCCATGAGCTCTGAGTATTTGCCTGGCAAAACACGTACTAGTTCTTTTATTTCTGTTTCAATTTTTATATAAATTTTCTTATCGATCAATTTCTCCTCCTCGTTGTTTTTTTTTTTTTTGTTACAATTTTATATAATTTTTCTTATTTGTTTTGAATTTTGCAGTTGATTTTTGGTGATCGATTTCGTTAAAATTTAGGGTCATTGAAATTTTTTAAAAGATGTCATTCAAAAAAGGAGAAAGCACAACAGATAAAGCATTGTCACATGGAGAGCAGCTGGCCAAGGTATAGATGAGGTTATAAGATTTTGATTCATGGGAAAGTTTTCGCGCAACCCTATGCATGACGTTTTGATTGAAGCGAGAATCGACGGAAAATCAAGGGGCAAAAATAAACAGGAGCGTGCAGAATGAGAAAATGATGTGCAGAAATTATTTTCTTTTTGTTTCATTGTAGCGGTGATTGAGAACGTGGATATAGTAGTAAAGTTCTATGTATTTTTGTTTATTTTTTAACCTTTTTTCATGGGAAATAATTTGGCCCTTCTGTTCTTCAGATTTATGAAGTAAGGAAGATGATGGGTCCTATTGCGGATAGGCTACCAGCCATTTGTTCAGAAGCTTCAATCTCAAGGTACCTAAGAGCGCGGAACTGGAATACAAAGAAGGCGGGCAAGATGCTGAAAGAAACCATAAAATGGAGGTTGGAGTTCAAGCCCGAGAAGATCCGATGGGTAAGCAATGTGCATGCATCTTTCAAAGATCTGAACCGTCAATTTCTGAAAGTTTTGATGCATAAACTGTTCTTGCAAAAAAAAAAAAAAAAAAGCCAAATTAATAGACGAATGTAGCGTTTCCATGAATATGAAAATGCCGTGCTGATAATCATATGATTACATGATTTTTAAATTGATGGATTTTTAGCAGAATTATCTTTGAGCGAAACTTTAAAAAAATAGGCAGTTCGGATCTTAAAAAAATCGGTTCCTTCTCGTAAAGTTGCATGTTGTTTGTACTTTGTAGTTCAAAGGTTTGAACCGTCTATTTTTCAAAACTTCATGGAATAATCCCATTTGAAAGTGATTTATTCTAATCTTATATAGGAAAACATTACTCAAGAAGCGAAGACAGGAAAAATTTACAGAGCCAATTACCATGACAAGTGCGGAAGGACAGTTCTTATCCTGAGGCCTGGTTTTCAGGTAGTTAAATCAAACGAAAAGCATCTACGTTAATGTTAGTAGTTGTTAGCATTTTTCTGTTTGACTGTGAAATTCTTTCGTCGTGTCAGAACACAAATGCGGTAAACGAGCAGATGATGTATTTGGTATACTGCCTGGAGAATGCCATACTGAATATGAATCCAGATCAGGAACAGATGGTGTGGCTAATTGATTTTCAACGGTGGAACACGTCGAGCATATCGTTGAAGGCGACTAGGGAAACAGCTAAGATCCTGCAAAATCATTACCCTGAGAGATTGGGAATTGGCATCCTCTATAATCCACCAAAAATATTTGAGTCCTTTTGGACGGTATGTTATTACGCATCTATCTGCAATTGTTATTGCTTTCTTGTCTAAACCTAATAATTCTTCAAGTTTTATGATATTACTCTTTGCATTTGATATTAGGGCTAGTGTAGTGAGGTATGTTGGAAACTTGGAACGTAAGCAAGAGCTTCACGATTAACGTTTTGTTCAATATATATGGTATGAAGACAATAGTAGGTCCGGGTTTCCTTATGGATTTTCTGGGACTTGAGTAGATTCCGGGGTAGTTGGATGACGAAGAACAAGAACAGGAAGGTAGAAAACTACAGAGAAAAACCGGGGCGTGGATAATCTGGCCACGGAACTAGTTTCTGTAACCAGATTTATCTGCCAGCAGACTCTAAAGACGAAAATAAACAACTCAAACTAGGTTTTTAAAGACGAAAATCTCTTGCCAACTGTTTTATGGCATACTTGGTTTATTAGAATTGTCTGTCATTTGTCACCAGTTTTGCGATTTAAGAAGATCACATCAACTTGAAGTACTCATATTCTTTCCCTTGTGTTTTCTGCGTAAAAACTGACCACAATGCTCCTCCTAATTCGGTTTGAAATCTTTATTAAATGATCGTTTGATTAGCTTTATCTATATTGGTTTTTAAGTATTATCGAAACCTCTTTGTAGTAAGTTCGAAAAATCTGGTGAAACTTTCCTTGAATTGCAGTTGGTAAAACCATTTCTTGAGCCAAAAACACACAAGAAGATGAAGTTTGTGTACTCGGACAACTCGCAGAGCCAGAAGATAATGGAAGATCTTTTCAACATGGACAAGTTGGAATCCACATTTGGCGGGAGAAGTTCAGTTGGTTTCGACTATGAAGCTTACGGACAAAGAATGCGAGAAGATGACAAGAAAATGTCTAGTTTTATCGATTCAGGTTGTTCGCCAGCCTATTCGCCAGCCTATTCGCCAGCTTATTCGCCATCAATCATGTCCGAGTTGCAGCAATTGACTTCTGACCATTGTTCTGAGGTCTCCGATGAAGGCGGCTGCTCGTCGTGCGATGAAGCAGCTTCGTCGAACTTGGAGGTCGTCGATGAGAAGGTACAAGGACAACCGCACGACAGCAAAGATGTTGCAAATGACTGCACAAAAGTGGCTGCATGATGAGCACTAGGTTTTAGGGTTTGGTTTTATGATATTTCACCTTATGTAATGAAACATTTAACACAGTTACTTTTACAGCTCCTTTTTTTTTTCCCTCTTTGGTTGAAAAGGTTTTCTCTTGTTTGCTGACACGTTGTTTAAAGATCAATATTTCTACTGAGATTGGAATTTCGAGAATGTGATGCCTTGAATCCCACACATCAGCAATGCACTAAGGAAATCTTGATAAGACATTCATACAAATATTGTCTTCAGCGTCGGAGTACCTTTCACGAATTCTCTTATTTTACTAATCCTTGGGGAAGTTTTGCAACCACATATATTTTGTTATCAAACAATCTCAAGAGATTTGCAACCACTTATGTTTTGTAATTTTTTATTCACACACCAATACATTATCGGATCAGGATGTTATGGTGGAATTGTTGCCATGTAAGTCTTCCTCGACATGGAAAATCAAATCGGGTGTGAACTAGAATACAACATCTTATTCGAGAATTTATATTACGGGGGTGAAGAATTTAGATTAAAAACAATGACCAACTATAATAATTTGAAATCGAATTTCCCACCCACAAAAATCGAATTCAAAACATATATTCTTACTCACGAATTAACAAATAAAGCTAAATATCACTAGATCAGCAATAAGCTGGATATCAAATTGATCATATGGATCAAATTCAAACCCGAGAGGTAGGATCAAATTCAAAAAAAAAAAAGATTGTGCAAATAAATTGGTAAGCTCTTCCTCCAACCACAAATCCTAACTTTGCAAAGCTTCAACCGCCGGTTCCTTGCTTAGGCTTGGGCCGGCGGCAACCCCTCCCACCCCCTTCTAGCATCCCCTTCCTCCTAGTCTCTCCACCCCTTGCTTCTTACCCTCTGTCCTCTTGCTGCGACCCACACATTTTTTTCCTTTCTTTCTGCGCCCCCAACCCTCCCCTCGCTGCTTTCTCTTTTTCTTTGTTCCTTGGTCTGCCCAGCACCTTCTCCCCTCACTCTTCTGTGCGCAACCTGTTTTCATGGCTTTGTTGTGAGCCTCCGACCCACTTCCCTGATTTTATTGCCATACAAGGCTTTTCCCTTGTTTGGAGCTTAGATATGCGGTTTTGGGTTGTTTTTGTGGTATTTGACTTACTTTTTCTGGTTTTTTGCTCTTCTTGCCTAGTTGGTGGCTGTCATGCCTACTGGAGGCTTCGTTTATTTGGATTTGTGCAGCTTATGCTTCCTGGGTGGGGTTGCACATGGAGTGTTCTCGGCAGTGGCTTCCTGGGCACCCACAGTGATGGTGTGCATATTTGCTAGCAGAATTTTCTCTAGGTTGTTTGGACTTTTCCGAGGGCTTTGCCCTTGGAACTATTGTTTTGTCCTCTTTGGGTTTGTGGTGGTGATGGGGATGGCAGTGCAGTGATGTGGGTGGTCTTGGCTTGGCAACCCCTCTACCATCCATGTCATTGCCGCTATTTCTTGCCATAACTGTGACCAACACCGATCAGAAGAATTTCTGGCAACTCTTGGTGCTATCATGTTTTATGCAGGTTTTTAGATTGTGGTGGCATTCCGACGACTTTGGTGGCTCTGGCTAGATCCTCTTCCGCCCACCCCTTTGAGTTTGTCCCGACTACAGTTGGCCTCGCACACCTCTTGACATTTTTGCATGTGCCTCTGCCTCTGCTACCCATGCCTACTACCAAATTGCAACCGCATCTCCATTATGGACACTTCACCTTGTTCTTTTGTTCTTTTAATTTAGTTTTTATGACTGGTCTGTGTTGCTTCGGCAAGTGGTTTGTGTCATTTCTGAGATTTTGTAGCCTCGTTGTCTCGCAATGGTTTTGGTGAGGGTTTCGATGCTTTGTATGACACTTTTTGTCCATGGGACATATCAATATCGGGATTCCTTGTTCTAGTGGTGCGATTTGAGTGATGGCCGCATAGGGGTTTAAAATCATTTGTAATTTGTGCTTATTACCTCCAGATTAAGAAATTGATCACTAAAGCATATGTACCATTTGACATCCTTGTAAGTGGTTAGTTATGGTAATGAAAATTATATCTTTTTGTTATATTAAAAAAAAAAACCCGGGGAGGTGCGAACTGCGAAGTGAGTGCCAATTGCGACCCGGGTTGTGCCTTTGAATCTCTCGACCCACCCCGATCAGACCTCCCTACTCCTGCCTCCTCTCTCTCTCGCTCTCCTCCGCCAATCTTCGCTGCCTCCGCCCCGATCTGCCCTTGGTTTCAAAGGTTTTAATTACCTTCTTTGAATCAAGAGCCTCTTCCTCTTCATTTTTTCGTTTTCCGAATTAGTCCTCGGAAATGGCAGCAATTTACAGCCTCTACATCATTAACAAATCAGGCGGCTTGATCTTCTACAAGGTAACAAAAACCCCAAATCTTTCAACTCACTTTCTGTTTGTTTCTCAAAAAAATTCAAGGATTTCTTTCAAAAGCTTCGATTTTGCGTCCATTTTCCTCCGTTTTCTCGGCAACCAAACAGGAAATTAACCGATTTTGATGTGCCTCTTTGTTTGCTTGGACAATCTTAGGACTATGGGTCGGCGGGACGAATGGACACGAATGATAGCTTGAGGGTTGCAAGCTTGTGGCACTCAATGCACGCCATTTCTCAGCAGCTGTCGCCAGTATCAGGCTGTTTCGGCATCGAGCTCCTCCAAGCTGACACTTTCGATCTTCATTGCTTTCAATCACTCACCGGTACGATTCGAACTTTGATCTTATCGGTTTTCAAAGAATTTGCACTTTTGTTTAATCGGTATCAATCGAAAATTCGACAATGCACTGGTGTATAGGATGCAATACTTCAGTGGATGACTGGATTTGCGTGCTTTAATCTAGATATTCCAATCTAACTGTTGATAAAACTGGTGCATCATACACCGGTGTATTGTAGGACTCGGGTTTCAGTAACATTCGTAGAATTTGGAAAAAGCGGGTGTTGAACAAGCTGCAGAGATGATGTAGGTGATTTTGTAACTCAAATAGTTGTTGTGTGTTAAATATTGTTAGATATCCATATGAACTATTGCAGCCAGCATTTTAATTGTAAACTGTAAATTTGGTGAAGTTCTGAGGAGGTTTGTCAGATTAACACAACTCTGTAGCTTTTCAATCTGGTGAGATTAATTTGTGTTCCGAAGAGATAAATTGGGGATCGATCTGTTGCTAACCTAGTAAGCCTCATCTACTTGGTTTGAACTTTTGAAGCGAGTCTTGTGAATTGCATTAGTTTAGGCTGTAATGTAGTGAATGACAGATAGTTATTACGGAGGGATAAAATGTTATCTGAGGTGAGTGCTAAAGATTGTCATTGAGCGAGAACTGCCTCACTCTCACCTCACGGTTCTAGATGCTACATCTACCTATGAGACAGATAAGGCAAGTCAAGACGATACCACACTCCGGTACTTAGAAGTTTCGTGTTTACGAGATCATTCTCTCACAATATTTCCTAATGTCATTTGTACTAAATCATTCACTTGTACTCACTAAAGGAGAGCTTGAACCTATGTACTTGTGTAAACCCTTCACAATTAATGAGAACTCCTCTATTCCGTGGACGTAGCCAATATGGGTGAACCACGTACATCTTTTGTTTGCTTTCCTATCTCTATCCATTTATATACTTATCCACACTAATGACCGGAGCAATCTAGCGAAGATCACAAAAAGCGACCGTTTTCGCTACCTAGGATCTATCTTGCAAGAGTACGGAGAATTAGATGGAGATCTCAACCATAGAATACAAGCTGGATGGATGAAGTGTAAGAGTGCATTCGGCGTGTTGTGTGACCATCGTAGGCCACTGAAGCTCAAAGGAAAATTTTATAGGACGGCAATAAGGCCAACGATGTTGTATGGTACAGAATGTTGGGCGGTGAAGCATCAACACGTACACAAAATGGGTGTAGCGGAGATAAGGATGCTTCGTGGGATGTGTGGGCACACGAGAAAGGATAAGATTGGGAATGAAGATATCCGAGATAAAGTAGGAGTAGCCGAAGTTGAAGGAAAGATGAGAGAAAATCGGTTACGGTGGTTTGGACATGTGCAAAGAAGGCCTACTGACGCTCCGGTTCGAAGATGTGACTACGGGACAGAGGTTCGGGGCCGAAGGGGTAGAGGAAGACCTAGGAAAACTTTGGAAGAGACCCTAAGAAAAGACTTAAAGTACTTGGATCTAACGGAGGACATGACACAAAACCGAGCGCAATGGCGTTCTAGGATTCATATAGCCGACCCCACCTAGTGGGAAAAGGCTTTGTTGTTGTTGTTGTTGTTGTTGTTGTTGTAATGTTTGAGACAGGGTGGTGTCTGTAAAGTTTTAGGCAACTTCTGTCTCGGGGTTACGTATTTTTGAAGATGGATTACACAATGAGAATTTCGGTCCACTTGATTTGGTGTCATGTTAATGATTTCCATACAATTAGGATCTTGTTTGTTCTGGTTAAACAAAGTATGAACGGTTTGTTTCCTCAATCTGGTCATCATATGTAGCAATCCCCTTGTTCCCCGCATCACATTCTTGCAGTAAATGTAGGAATTTTTAAGTTCTTTACTTTCTTCCAGCGAAGAAAATATGCTAGATTTTAGCAAATGGCTCAAATAGTACAAGGAATACGATATGCCAGATTCAACACTGTACATAGTAGTAGGCATTTTGACAAGTGTTATTACTTGAGTTGCATCACTCGGATGAGTTGTTTTTATAACCTGGATGGCAAGTCAGATCCATTTGCCGGTCTGAGATTTCCCCAGCACGAAGTTAATGCTTGTTTCAGCGTTAATATCTTTTGCTTTTCATTTTCACAGAGTAATTGTGTCTGCTTTTTCTGGTTTGGCCTTTTTTTCCTTCCGAATTGAACCAGTATTTTAGAGTTCGACATTGGTTGCACTTTTTCCCCCCTCCCATGACAGTTCAAGAAGCGAACCCTGTACTTGAAATTTTGCAATAATGCAAGGGATTGCAAAAATGGTGCTTTTTGATAAGATAGTTTCGGTTTTGCAGGGACAAAGTTCTTTGTTGTGTGTGAGCCTGGGACGCAGCACATGGAAGGTCTCTTGAAACATATCTATGAGTTGTACACCGATTACGTCTTGAAGAACCCCTTTTATGAGATGGAGATGCCAATACGATGCGAGCTCTTCGAAATCAACCTAACGCAGGCAATACAGAAGGATCGTGTTGCCTTGTTGGCCAGATGATCAATTTACCTTCATTCATACATACGAGATACATACGAGATACTCTCTGTGTACGAAGTCCATGAAAAAGATAGTGCGGGGAAGAGTCTCGTTCTATTAGTCACCCAGTAATCAAAATACAGTCACCTACCATGGGATTTTCTATGACGTGTTATAATTTGAGAAGACTTGCAATTATAGATCGAATGTCGTGTGGTTTTACACTTTTATTGTCGCCAGAATTAACCTTACGAGTAGCCAAATGTAGATCGAAATTACAGAGATTACTCCGATTCCAAATTTAAAAAAAACGAACGTTGTTTCTAATCTAGTCTGAAAATCACCCATATCCTTGACCGTACCAAACATAGGACTATAGTCCTAGCCAAAGCTAGTCCCTCTTAAAAAATGTAACAAACGGGGTCCTGTATCCAAACAAGAACTCTATATACTCCTCTCATCACTAGTCTATTCCACTTCCTACTCCCATCATTACGAATAGACCTGTAAATGAGTCGGGTTTAATCTGACCCGTTAAGTTAACGGGTCACCCGAATCCGACCCGTTAAGCTAACATGTCATCCATTAATAATAATAATAATAATTATTATTATTATTATTATTATTTTTTTTTTTTCATAGTGTTTATTTTTTGTTATTAAGACTTTACTGAAACTATTAAAACATCATCAACTAACGGGTGCTAACGGGTTGATCCAAAATGACCCGTTATTTAACGGATTCACCTGTTAACGATCTGACCCGTTAAAGCATCCACCTAAATACTAATATTAACGGGTTGGGTCGGATCAAATTGGGGTAATGGGTCGGATCCAAAATACCAAGTTGAACCCTCCTAGAGCCACCAAATTCCCCATCCAGTCGAGAAGGTCTCGTGCGAGATCACCGTTTGATGGTGAGTCGTAAGTGTTATGTGAAAAGGGGTAAGACGCAAATGAGACGGATGAATCTTGCAAAATAAAAAAGACAAGTTAGGGGAAATTTTTGTGTGCCTTGTTTTGTAGGAACATCTGATTTGGTATTCGGACCGCCGTTCATGACTTTTTACCATCAACATTCTCTTTTTTAATAATTTGTTTTTTTATTCGAATTTTTAATAAAATAATTTGTTAAACAGAGACTATGGGCTCCCACGACATGTGAATATGATAAAGAGATGAACGGTAGGGATAGGGGTATCACAAATGTCAATGAGCGGTTAAGATGTAATGAATTTTGGGATGTGATATCCATACACATTTTTTACTTTTCATACATTCTTATAATTTTTTACCGTCGAATCAGATGGATAAAAATTAACAAGAAGTGTGTAAGAAGTAAAAACGGATGTATGGATAACACACACCTAAAATTTTAATATAAAATTTCCAACATGCTTATGCCGCTATAAAACAGAAACTCCAAGAAATGAGAATATCATAATACGAATTACTTACTACTATAATTTGGTAATATATTTCTTTGTTTGTAAATGAGGGATTTTTTATGTTTGAATTCATAAATAATAAGTTTGACAACATATTAAGTCTTCTAATTTAATTTGAACTATAGGGGGAACTAAATTATGGTGCACAAGAGAATTTTGAGTATGGTAGTTTGACCAACTTCAAAGAACGACTTCTTTGGTTCTTCCAAACCTACTTTTTGGTTGTCATCGCTCGATTACTTTTTATTGTCACAGGTGATTGTTATAATGGACGATCGAGATAAATAGAGAAAATTTTAAATATGACAACCTAACTCTTAACAATAAATTGAATATATGCATTAAAAGTTATACTTATGTAAAGTCAAACGTTACTTTACTTACAGCGAAATTCATTTCTTTGCGAGAATAACAAATGATATTTAAAAAATTCACGTATATTACTTTGTGGGAGTACAGTGAGTATTTAACTATCTAACTAGTCAAACTACCTTACATAAATTTCTCTAAAGCCTACGAAGAATTTATTAAATAGCACGGATATACCTACACGAAAGAGTTGATTTACGTACTTTTATTTTATTGGTACAAAACGTCACGTACCTAAGTCGTTCACCCCAAGTGGAGGAGTGAGACCGTTATCTGCTATGTATTTTATTTCAGACAAAGAAGTTGGTGTCGTGATTGCGATTGACTTTATTGACTGGGCAGGCTTCTTTTCTTCTCCTCTTTCTGTGCCGCCCCATTTTCCTCTCTGTCAACACTAAAAAGTCATATCAAATATACCCAAAAACACAGACATACATTCATGGAGATATAGAATTATAGATACATACATACATACATACATACATACATACATACAGCTTTCCTTAGCTGCTTTCCTTCAAAAGAAAAAGCTCAAGAGATTCCCATTGCCCTTTACTTTCTATGGTTTTTCATCTGCCCTCTCAGTCTCCATTTCTCTTTCCCTTACAAAAAAAATCTCAACTTTTTTCCATTTTTTTCTCCAATTTTTCTGCTTTCAGGTTCTGGATTGATCTTCATCTGATCGCTTTGAAATCCCATTTGGTTCTTCTTTGAGGTGGGTTTTTCTTTTCTCTGATTATTTCCTACTTAATTTACTAGTTTTATGCTTTTGCTTTTAGTATGTTGATTGATTGGTTTAATTTTCTGTTCATACAGATTGGAACTGCGATTAGTATTTATACCCATAATCCACTGAGAAAGTTAAAAAATGGGGTTGGTGTTGGAAATTGTTGTTAATTTCCGGAAAATTGTGATGATTTCACTCAGAGCATGTTACAGATCAATTTGCAATCATCCTTTTCTTGCTGGGTTGCTTCTTTTCCTGCTATTTCTGTACAGATCGTTTCCTTTTGTGTTTACCCTTTTGGTTTCGACGTCCCCGGTTTTAGTCTGCACTGCGGTTCTTCTAGGAACCCTTTTGAGTTTTGGCCAAACCAACATACCCGAAATCGAAAGGGAAGAGAAGGTTACCTGTGATGATGTTGCTTCTCTTAGGACTAGGAGTTTAGGGGATGACACTGTTGTGCTTGAGAGAGATGGGAGCTTTTCCGCAGAAAGGTTCATGGGAGAGGCTAGGGATGTTGTTGATGCATCCGTAGAGAAAAGTAGCAATGTTGAGGATCGTGATGGTTTGGGTGTTTATATGCCACTTATTAGTGAGGGTTTGCAAAACACTGATAGTGAGAAGAGAGTGAATGAGGATCGCGATGGTTCAGTTGTTTATATGCCACTGATTGATGAGGATTTGCTAAACACTGGTGGTGAGAAGAGAGAGATTGAGGATGCGGAGAGAGAATTAGAAAGTTCGGACTTAGGAGAGCGGAGAAAGATTGATAATGATCACTTGGGGATAGAAGGCATTGACTGGGATGTGGGAACTGTTAATCAGCAGTACACTTTTTTTCAAAAGATTCGAGATGAGATTCGTCGAGTGGAAGGTGATCATATATCTCCTCGAGGGCCAGGCTATGCTCATGAGGGTGATCGCTTGTATTCTTCACTGCTTGGCAGTGGTGGTGTTGACGGTGAGGCTGTTGAGCAGCAATATACTTCTTTTCAAAAGGTGCGAGGTGAGATTCATCGAGTCAAAGATGAAAATATATGTCCCCGAGAGGCAAGCTATGCTCACGAGGGTGATCACTTGTATTCTTCGCTTCTTGGAAATGGTGGTGATGATGAGGCTGGTGAGGATGTGGATGACGATGCTTCAGATTCTGAGTCAGATCGAGCAGAGAGTTCCTCACCAGATGCTTCAATGGCTGACATCCTTCCGATGCTTGATGAGCTGCACCCACTTTTATACTTTGAAGCTCCACAGCCAGCTCGTGTGTCCCATGATCATGAGCCTGATGCTGCTTCAGACCAGTCTAAAAGGAACAATGCTGGCAGTGTTGAGTCTGACGTGGAAAGTGAAAACCAAGGCGGAGAAGTAGCAGAGGATGGGAATGATTATAATGACGGTGATGAGGAAGAAGCACCGGGTGGGAAGGATGATGAAAGCAAATCTGCGATCAAATGGACAGAGGATGACCAAAAGAATCTCATGGATTTGGGGAATCTGGAGCTCGAAAGGAACCGACGGTTGGAGAACCTTATTGCAAGGAGAAGAGCAAGAAAAAGCTTCAAAATAACTGCAGAGAAGAATCTTATAGATTTTGATAGAGTTGATCTTCCGTTTAATGTTACACCAATCTCTACTGCAAGACACAACCCATTTGATCTGTATGATCCCTTTGACAACTTGGGTTTACCCATTCCTGGGTCTGCTCCATCAGTAATGTTGCCAAGGCGAAACCCCTTTGATCTTCCGTATGAGTCAAATGAAGAAAAACCTGATCTAAAGGGAGACCCTTTCGAGCAAGAGTTTGTGCCATTTCACGCCAAGGATGCAATCTTCCGAAGGCATGAAAGCTTCAGTTTGGGACCGTCAACCTTAGGGCAGGCCAGGCAAGAGAGGCAAGATTTTAAATGGAGACCTGTTTTTGTATCAGAACGGTTGGCTTCTGAAGGACCAAGCAGTTCCTTATTTCAAAGACAATTAAGCGAAGTTAGTGAATCAAAGTTGAGTTCTGTTCCCGATACCGAGTCAGTGAGTTCTGCAGCAGATCTGGATGAAAGGAAGTTCAATGAGCAGGACTTTACTAAAGAAACAGAAGCGATATCCAACATTTACCATGCTACTGATGATCTTGTTGTTGAGCACGGAAGTCAATCATCTGAAGACGTAGATTCTCTGGAAATGGAACAGGCCGGAAAAAGAGATGGTCAACATGATGAACTTGAAGTAAAATTGCTTGAATCGCAAGACCTGGAACCGAGCTTGTCTGGTGCAACGGGTTTAGCTACTCATGGGGAACATATTACTAATGAAGTTCATGTCAAACAAGATCCGATTGAAGAGGACAACAGCAGTACGTCAAGCTTGTCATCATTGACAGAAGAGGATGAAAAGATTGCAGATGCAGTGGAAGGAGGATCAACCAGTTTGGAGGCTAGACGTGATATCGCCAAGGAGTTTGTAATTTCGCCGCAACCTTCACTGAAGGAGTCAGAAGTTCAGTTTATGAGCAGGAGGGTGAATGAAGATGAACATGATGAGCCAGTCTATGACTCAACCCCCCTACCAACTGAAAAGATCCTTTCCTTCAATTCTATTTCTTCTGATATACAAGCAGATATATCTGAAATGGTTACACCTCCAGGATTAGCTGAAGCGCAAGTTCCGTCTGTAGACCGGGATTCTGAAGTGTATGGTGAAAGCACAGACAAAGATACTCCAGGTTTTGTAGAGATAAGTGGTGCCACCTCAAAAGTACATGCATCAGATGAAACTGATAGAAGCTTGGGGACAAGCAACCAAGTTGGCTTAGTGGGTTCTCATTCAGAGGATGATATCTATCTCCCTAAGATTTTTGACACGAAGACAGCAGATTGTAGTCATCAATCCGTTCTTTCTGAAGAACTGCCGCCGTCAGAGCACGGAAAAGTCCTTTCCTGGTCAGATAAATCCATGGTTGAACCATATGTTGATCATGTCGAAGCACTTATTATTAAAGAAGAAGTAGGTGAAGTAAAGGAGATTGATGCGGGGCTGCTGTCGGAGTTAGATGCAGTTGGGGACTTCAGTGTGAATGATGTTATCAGCGAGCCATTCCATACAGATGAGCTGATACCAGAGGAAGCAAATGTTTCAAGCACTGAATTTGGTGATTTAAACCTGTCAGAATTGAACCAGGAGCTACCAGTTCTTGATATTGACACGTATTTTAAGCAAATTCATAAGGGACTAGCTGGTGAGGAAGTTGTTCTTCCCAGTGTGGTTGACGATCAGCTAGAGGTGGAAGCGCCTGAAAATACTGTCCAGACCCGTTCAGAGTTGCCAATTGTTGAAACAAGATGCTTGGAAGATTCCGAGTTGCCAACTGTTGAAGAGAGATGCTTGGAAGCATCCGAAAATACTGCCCAGACCAGTTCAGAGTTGCCAATTGTTGAAGCAAGCTACTTGGAAGATAATGTCACTGGTTTAAAGCAAGATTCAAATGGGAATGTTAATGAGCTGCCTCAAGTGTTGGAACCTGAGGATGGATCAACAGAATTACCGTTGGAATTTAATCATACTCTCTTGAAGCAAGTCTCGGATCATAATAATGTTGGTGAGCTTTCCAATGGGTCGGAAGAAGTAGGAACTACTGCCGTGGATTCTACAGAGGAGATTGCATCAAGCAATACAGTATCAAGTGTTAAAGAAGATATCAATGCAGATACTGCTTTGGAGCAAGTCTTAGGAAGTCATGTTGATGAGTTGCCAAAAGCGACATCAATTTTAAATGATGGGTCGGAAGAAGTACAATCAAATGCCATGGGTTCTGCGGAGGAGATGGCATCAAGCAATATACTATCGAGCTTTCAACAAGAAAATATCATTACTCCGAAGCAAGTCTTAGACAATCATGTTAATGATGGGTCGGAAGAAGTAGGAACTGGTGCGGTAAGTTCTACGGAGGAGATTGCATCAAGCAATACAGTACCAAGTATTCAAGAAGATATCAATGCAGATACTGCGTTGGAGCAAGTCTCAGAAAGTCATGTTGATGAGTTGCCAAAAGCAGCGTCAGTTTCAGATGATGGATTGGAAGAAGTAGGAATTGGTGCAATAAGTTCTACGGAGGAGATTGCATCAAGCAATACAGTATCAAGTGATCAAGAAGATACCCATACAGATACTGCTTTGGAGCAAGTCTCAGAAAGTCATGTTGATGAGTTGCCAAAGGCGATGTCAATTTCAAATGATGGGTTGGAAGGAGGAACTGATGCCATGGGTACTGCGGAGGAGATTGCATCAAGCAATATGCTATCGAGTGTTCATGAAGATATCACTCCTCTGAAGCAAGTATCAGAAATTCTTGTTCATGATGGGTCGGAAGAAGTAGAAACTGGTGCAAAAGGTTTGGTGGAGGAGATTGCATCAAGCAATATACCATCAAATGTTCAAGGAAATATCACTACTCCAACGAAAATCTCAGAAAGTCATGTTAATGATGGAGCTGAAGAAATAGGAACTAATCCAATGAGTTCAACGGAGTATGCATCAAGTGATATACTATCAAGTGTTCAAGAGAATAGTACTTTGGAGCAAGTCTCGGAAAGTCATGTCGACGAGCTTTTAAAACCAACATCACATTTGAAGGAGGGATTGGCAGAAGTAGGAATTACTGCAATGGCGTCGACTGTGGAGAAGATTGCATCAAGTACTACAGAACATGGTGTTCAAGAAACTATAACTAGTCCTATTGCTTTAGAGCAAGTCTCAGGAAGTAATGTTGATGGTGAGCCGCCAAAACCATCAGTTACACAGGACAGATTGGCAGAGGTTGAGAATATAAAACACGAAAACTGAAGAATGTGTTTGGTGGATTGCGACTTCAAGCTCTTTGTTTTCTCCGGTCTGGTGTGGATATAATCATATTTTGGTAAGTGGCAGTTTCGTTCGCTGATTTTTTATGGATTGGTTTCTTCAAGAATGAGTTTTTGGTTTGATTTCTTGAAGTGTGAATTTTTCGTGTTTTATCCTACATTTTGTGAGAGTTGGGTGAAAGATTGGCTTTGATCATCAGTATTGTACATTATGTTTTGGATGTAAAAGTTGAGGTTCTCGTATTGTTTTAGCTATGAATCCGGGTAGTTTCTTCTGTCCCGTTTTCTTTTACATTTCTTATCAGATCTCGCCATCGATTCAAAAAATTTCAACTACTAGGCTGCCTTATGCATTCTGCAAGTATCCAAAAGGGAGCCATTTTTCGTTTGACACTCCAAAAAACTCATCATGTGCTTCTTTCTCGCGAAAGAAAACAAGGGGGAAGAAGTGCGTGATGATTATTTGTAGCGTTAATAACAAATCCCGTTTGAAGTTGTAAATCAACTTTGTTAAAACCGACCAACCTGTCACTAGCAAAGCATCCGAAAAAATGCACAAGAGTGGAAGAGTTTATTGGTCTCTTTTCAAGTCGTCTGCCGACTTTGCTACTTTTTGGATCAGCTGACGTTGGTCGGTTCCTTAAAGAATAAGAATAATGAATACATACAAATGTATGAACGATTGTCAATTGTAGATGTGTGTGAAACTTACACGCATCAACTGAATGCATTTAATGGTTTGATTTCACTCGAACTTCTAAATAACGGAAAATGCTAGCTACCTTCGCGTTTGTGAATGGAGACGGCAAATGCGTCCATCTTACTAATGTTTCTAAAGGACCAAAAAATAAATAAAACAAAATAAAATCTTATACACGAATCCAAAACTCTCACTTAGTAGCTGACATATAAAAGTGTATCACAAAAGAAAGTACAGTAAGAGTTTTGTATTCACTGGTCACGGTGAAGAACAAAATCTATTTCGCTTAGTATCCAAACATATCGGGATGTTAGACGTGTTAGCTATACATTTAGCGATATCAAACCAAATGATCCGATTGCTTTTGCTTCTTCTGTGATGGCCCCGAAGTTCCTCCGACCTGAAATACATTTTCCACAACAGAAGCTCAGATATATCGTTCTGCAATAAGGTAAAGAAGCGCGACACCTAAAATTCTCACATCAATGTTGATGTACAACTATTTGCTGAACTATCTGTTAAAATATTTCGTTTGATTAGCAGAAAAATACCTTCTCAAAGAAAAAATATACATCTAAGAAAATAGATGCGTTTTCTCGGCATTTCTAATGTTTCCAGTATAAAGAAACTTTCGTATTTTCCACAAATTTTGGAAACTAAAGTTTGCCGGCAACCAGCAGAGGGTGGTCAGTTCTTGGCAGCACCAACCAAAAGGTGACCACTTATAGGAGTATTTGGGAGTTTTATATGAAGCCCAAATATGGCTCTCTTATAAGGCAAATCAGGTCCTCGATGTTTTTTGACGCTTGTTGCTTATGTCCTTTACCTTCTCGTCTCTTTTCTCTTCCGCATTCTTCTCCATCTATCTAATTCCACAAAAATCAAACGAATCCTAAAACTTCTGTTCTATATACACATCCTGTTTGCTAAAAATTCTACCATCTAAAGCTGCCTGTGATCCAAAGGGAACAAGGACCTTGTGAAATCTTTCATCATCCCTATATCTCTAAAGTTCAGATGAAAATTTTGGGTAGAACGAAGGCCAAATGCTCAAATAAGTTAGAAGAAAGCATGCCTACCATGCTTGAGAGTTGTTCCTTAATGTATGTCAGTGATCTCAGCATAGCTTCCAGAGTGTCCCTAGTCAGTTGAAACTTCACCTCCGTTTCATCTAACGGAGATTTGGTATAATCTTGCAACTGCAAAAGTAATAGTAAAAATAATTAAATAGAATAAAATCATGTGGCCGAACAAAGCCGACTGAACAAATTAATGAGACTGCGAAAGGGATGAGAAATAGATATGCACGCACTGAATCGCACGCGCACACACACACAGATATAAACATACATCTTGCAGTTGATTAGATTTCACAAGTCTTATCAAACATGAGATTTTGAAGGCTTAAATTTTTATGTGTACCTTACGTCTGGCATATATTTATACGTATACACACAACACAATTGAAACCTTCATAATGTATTTCAACTGACTTGTTCGAAACTCTTTCGGGAAGAATCCTTCTCAGAATTTGCCTACCTTTAGAGTGATGACGGCCACTTTATTAGCCGGCCCTGAGTTACAGTTCTCCATGGTCCAAGTCATTGACTTTAGGCGAGGTAGAATTCCCTATATATCGAGGAAATCCATTAGTTATATCATTTACCCCTAAAGGGAAGGGGAGGAAGAAAATGAAAATAATGTTCCGCGGTTTGCAAGTTCAGTGATATATTTGAAAGATAAAACAGGTGCATACTTTCCACAACAAAAAACAGCTTTGGTTTGGAATCTGTTGAGAAACCAAGATCATATAGAAAACAAAAAACTTCCCAAATCCTACGAAATATCATTAGAACAAAAGGTTCCAAGCATAGGTAATTAATTATAACCAATGAACGCCAAAGTATACCCACCACCAGGTTTGCAGGAGGCATGGAAGTGAGTTGAGATGCATCAGTAGCAGAAACAATCGGCGTTGTTGAAGCTCCAAAATCATTTAATGAGCCAGAGGTACCCAAAGAGGTGAAGGTCGGCGGCACATTCGCCTTGACCTGATATGCAACACTAGCCCTTGGCAATGAACGCTGGAAAACATCAGATATATGAATCAAAACACCAAAGAGAACCCGGAAAAAATATGCAGTAAGCGATCAAATTGCAATAGTTTTGAGATTGACAAAAATTTCAGGGTCAAAGTAAGGGCTCGGGATATGCTTATGAAAGAAGCTCTTCTGCTCGTAAGTGCTTCTACTAGAAGTTCTTTTACTATAAACATGTAGAAAGCAGTTCTACTCGTAAGGGATTCCAAAAGAAAGTCCATTGTCAAAGTAAGGGCTCGGAATGCTTATGGATGAAGCACTTTGCTCGTAAGCACTTCAACTAAAAGTGCTTTTACGACCCATGAGCGCTTTTGGTTGTTAGAAAGCACGTTTAGCCCTTCTAAGCAAATCCAAACAGTCCCTGAGTGTGTTACCTGTTCTGTAGCTACTTCGTCCTTCCACTGAACCTGATACTTCTGGAGCAACAACACCAAACTGCTCTGCAAATCGAGTGGCAAATCGGGCGGAAACAGCTTCAAAACGTCGTTGGCGGTGAAGTTCTCGTGTACCCATTTTCTGATAAGCGATCGAAGGCATGCCAAAACCTGTAATTTTTCAATTTATCACTAAAAACAACAAATTGGTATGCAAATTTGATAGCTTTTGTTGCAGAAATTTAGAGAGAGAAAGAGAGAGAAAGAGAGAGAGACGAACAGGGTCGAGGTGGGAGAGAGAAGGGAGATGGAGGAGAGATTGGAAGTGGGATTTTTGGTGGGGAGAGTGGAGGCCGGTTTTCCTGGTTTGCCATAGAGTGGAGAGCAACTGGTCGAGTGCCGCTTCCTCTGTGGCGGAGAGCTTGTGCAGCTGCAGGTACAACGTATCTTCCACCGTCGTCTCCATTTGCATTTGCTCTGAGATGGTTCACATGCTGATGCTAATAGCACAAGAGCATTCCGGCGGCAATGAATCTTTAGTGGCTTGGGCCTAATTAGTATTGGATCTTGAGGTGTCAAACACGGCCCAAGCACGTCACGGGCACGACTAATTATGCCTGTTGGTTTCATTTGATTTACGATAATTTATTTCTACCGATTTTTTTTAATTCATTCGAATCTGACAACCAGAAATTGAGATAAGAGTGAGAAAAATAAAAATGAGTATGTAAGTAGCACCATTCAACTCGATTGATTTAATCATACTTGTTGGGTGAAAACAAGATAACCTTCCATTAAATGATACTTTTTACTCAATTTAGTTCTTAAGACATGCTCTAATGAGTAATGAGACCCGAACAAAACATATCTAAAAGTGGCCACAAAACAAGAGAATTATAAACACATGTTTTTTTTTTAACTTTCACAAATCTCTGTTTAATCATGTTCGTTGGTTCTATTTAATTTATTCAATCTAGTGACAAAGGGTTATAACAAGTTTCGATGAATTTTAGTCAGCAGGTCTGGAGGCTGATCATGGGGTCCTATATTCATCGCTGATGGTAAAAGTTAAGTGGCCAAGTCCAAGACAAAAGGGATTTGGATCCTCTCCTGAGTTAATGGAGAGGATCCTCCTCACCCATCATCTTGGGCCGTTGGATTTTTATCCAACGGCTATAATTATTATAACTTTAAAGGGACCCCCTGTTTGTAGTCGTTGGATAAAAATCTAACGGCCCAAGATGATGAGTCAGGAGGATCCTCTCCATTAGCTCAGGAGAGGATCCAAATCCAGACAAAAGACCCTAAATGCCGAGTGTTTAGATTAAAGTATTAAATGTTTTGTGAGGTAAATTGGTTGATAGATAGAAATGAGGGTTGATTTGGTATTGCTGTGCTTTGAAAAAAAAAACTGCTTTGAGAATAAGCTCATTTTTGTTACTTCACGTTTTCAACTTTTTTTTTTGCCAAAAACTGTGAAAATAAGCTGTTTTTAAGTGTTTACCAAACATCTTTTTGAGCTTAGTTTTTTTTATACCCACTTTTTATAAAAACATCTCAGTACCAAACTAGTACTGAGAGTAAGAAAAATAAACTTAGAATGGTGATGAGAGAGTTCTAGACTTGCCATTTAGTACTAAGGTCTAATAGTATTCATCTTTACTTGTAAGTAAGTGGTCTTAGATTTGATTCTCGCCAAAGGTGAATTTGAATCACATTATTGCTAATCATTGTGAGTTAAGCCCACCCCTCTCCTTTAGTGTAAATAATAGAAACAAAACTTAACCTTTTTAACCAAAGGTACTTAAAAGCGTATATGCGATTGAAAAATACATTTTTGGTGTCAATTCGAGTTTTATGTGTTCATTCGTAACATATTAAAAGGTAGTGGTTAAATTTAAAAAAATGGGCAAAGTTTGGGGCTAACCCATATTTTTACTCTCTCTTTTCTTGAGGACTCTAGTTGAAGGTTTTGGGAAAGGGAAGAGTATAGCAAATATCGTATATAGCCCGGCGTCGTTTCAGCCCACAGAGGGAGGAGAGCCAGAGAGGGACCAAGCGCACTCGGGCCATAGCAAAAGTTGCCGGAAGAAGAGAGAGAGAGACTGACGTCCATCCGCTGCTGCTCCGGTAAGTCTCCGAACCATGCCATCCCTCCTCCTTCTTCATTTCCGTCCTTCTCTCCGATTCGATTCCCTAACTGCGTTTCGGTTCGAAGCTGTGCGTGGACGTTTTTTGTCTAAACCCTAGAATTTGGTAAATTTCAAAATTTTATCTAGGAAATGGGTTATCTTTTTTATTTATTTTTAGCTCTGATTGCATTGAAATATGTAGCAGGATCAGTGTAAAGATTGCTTATTCTGTTGATTGAATCCCATACTTGAATGGGTCGAAGAAAGTTAAAAGCTTTACAAATTGTACATACATTTTTAGTTTTTTTGCGTTTATTTAATTTCAAAATTTTAGTTTAGGAAATGGGGGATTTTTTATTTATTTATAATTTATGTGTTTATCTCACTGTGATAGCATGTAAATATGTAGCAAGACGGGACGATATTGAGTACCAGGATTTGTGTAAATAATTGTTTATTCTGTTAATGCAATCTTGTACTTAAATGGGTGAAAAAAAAGTTAAAAACTTTACAAGTTCGAAATGCATTTTCCGCATTTTTTAAAATTTTTTTTAGCATAACAATACAGTTATTGTGGCAGGGGATGTAAAAAACTGAGCAACAGCATAATGAGTAACGTTGAAGCATTTGACGGACAGATATTGGCTGACAAGCTTTCGAAACTCAACAGTTCACAACAATGCATTGAATGTATCCTCTTAAGAAATCCCCTCTGTATAGTACTACATGGTTTAGCTAATTTATTTTTTGATACAGTGATAGTCATGTTTACAATGAGGGTATCATATTTGTTTCTGTGTGGCTGTATTACGCACCTACTCATTAACATACTTTTTTATAAGAATTTTTTTGTTAGAATAACATACTAACATATGTACATTTTATATTACTTGGATCTTGCTAAATCTAATTCAATACAAATTTAAACTTTTCCCTAATTTTAGATTTGTGAAAAAACTTGTAATGTTAAAGTTTTTACCTTTTCTGTATGCTCTTGTTTTTGGCTGTATCAACATTGCATTAATTGGTGACATTTCAACTGTATCTATGTTCTTGTTGTGCTATAGTTTACTAGCAACTGTCACACATATATTGCATGTCAGAATGACTGTTATTGTAGGAGGGAAAAAAGAGATAAAGAGAGAGTGCTGAAAAGATTGTGTAGAGATTTTTGTATTTTTATTTTATTGAATGAATTTTAGTTTCTAGTTATCGATATTATATATTTTATTTTCTTTTATTAAGGGTAAAATTTGTAAAAAAAAGCATGTGGGAGGTCCGTTTTATATTATAGTGCCTATGTATTTTATTGTAAAGTTGGTCCTTTTTATATCTTCCCTTAGTAATAGTATAGATTATGTAAATAACTTCTGTAATTCACTTTTCAATAGATACTATTTTGGTGTCATAGAATGCGATTCTTATTAAGTTTGACTGTACTGTGATGTATGTTCTAGGGTGATATCTTGTCCACTTTGTTTGCACTTTGTTGAGTAGCAGTAACATTTCTTTCTTATAAAAGGAAACATAACTTTTAAATTATGTGGAGGACTATTTTTGTGCATATCTATGCTTCCACCTTTTCCTCCCCTTAATGATGTATTGTTTCTTATATAATGTACTACCTGATCACTTAGCTTCAACTTTGATGTTTATATTATGTGCTTCTTTAATCATTTAAACAGCTCTGTCTCGTTGGTGTATTTCTCACCGAAAGAAAGCAAGGCAAATTGTTGAAACATGGGATAAATGTTTTAATTCTGCCCAGAAAGATCAGCGTGTGGCTTGTCTATATTTGGCTAATGACATATTGCAAAACAGTAGGCGAAAGGGCAGTGAATTTGTGAATGAATTCTGGAAGGTCCTTCCTGCAGCTCTCAAGTATGTTTATGAAAATGGTGATCAACATGGAAAGAAAGCTGCCACAAGACTGGTGAGCCATTTATGAATGTTCTCTTTTGTTTTACAATTAACAGTAGTAAATAGCTGTATGATTGATTACCATAGATAGATATTTGGATGTGTGCATGCATGCATTTGCATGAACTTAGACTTCAATGTTAAGTGACTTAAGTCTATAGCATGGGCCTGAGAAATTTTAAAGATTCTGCAGTGTTTGTAATTTCATCGAAGTGGAATCTGAACTTAAGTACTTTTTAGACTTCAGAGGATTTCACTACCTAACTGAGTTAGCACCTTCTATTACTCCAAAAAAATCTTAGTTTGCTCCCACTCTCCAGAAGACAATCTCCTTTCTTTCCATGTAATGGACTAAAGGGAACCATTTCAGTGTCCACTCTTATTTATGCTTCCTTTTGATAATGTGTGCCTAGCAATCTAGTCTCATTATTTCATCTGTAAGCTATCTCGTTTGTTCAGGTTGACATATGGGAAGAAAGGAAGGTTTTTGGGTCTCGAGGGCAGAGTCTTAAAGATGATATGATGGGAAACAATCATCCCGCTCCACCTGTAAGCAATGGAAAGGGTTCAAATCCTATCAAGATAGTGAAGAGGGATGCACACTCAGTTAGACTTGTAAGCACTTTGGGCAGTCTTTAATGTTGATTTATATTCAATGCCTAAAATTGTATTCTTATTTAGAGTGAGCTTGTACATGCCTTATTATTCTTCTAAACCTCAGAAATTGGCTGTTGGAGGTCTGCCAGAAAAAATACTTACCGCATTTCAACCTGTTCTTGATGAACATCTTACCGAAGAAGCTGCTTTAAACAAGTGTAGTGCTGCTGTACTTTATGTGGGTAAAATTGATGAAGATGTTGAAAACACCTTGATTCATGGTAAGAGTTAGGACATGTGGTTAAGTTCACAAATTTTGTTTATATGTGACTTTGTTTGATGAGTCATAGGATTAGATGACAAAACAGAAGACTCTTCCGGTGTGAAAACTAGGTTCTGTTTATTTTGACTTTAATTATTGTTTGTTTACAATTCTAATTCTACAAATCAGTTGATCACCAAAAGTATATTTTATTGCATTCTAATGTTGTGGAGTGGAAGTTATCTTCAATGCCATAGGAAATACGTTTCTCAGGGCTATTTCTAGTCTCCTAGTTCAAAATTTGTGGTTCGTAATTGGACTAGAATCCAATTCTGGAGGATACTAGGGTAGGTAATTCATCCCTTCAATTTTCTTTCCTTGATGATTATAGATATTGTGTGATCATAATCCAGTTTTGTCCACCTTAGATCCATATTTTCCTTCTTTGCCTTGTCTTGGAACTTAAATCATCCCAAGAAACCCAAATGACAGGGTGTTCGTGGATGTTTGAAATTTGTTGTCTCGTACGGTCGTACCAATAATATATCTTTGAGTTAAGCTTAGCTTGATAGAAGGCATTGTTCTATCCATGTGTCTGGGTACTTGTGCTACGCTTTAAAAAGATCCTATGTTTCCTTATCTCATTGCTGTGGCCGTTTAAATTAGCTGGTGAATAAACAGGGCACATCTTTTTACATTGCTCCTGTAGTTCACAAATATGTTGTAACTTGTTAGTTGTTGCATGATTTTTCTAAGAAATAGCTATGCATTGTTGACGGGGGTCTTTCTGTGGGTGGGGGCCAGTAAGAGATCCTTTAAACTCTGGCCACTAGGAAAGAATTTAAACTCTGCCCACTAAGAGAGCTTTTAAACTCTGGCCAATAGGAGAACCTATCTACATGGTTGTAACGGAAGGGAAAATTTTTTGAGGATAGGGAGGAGTTTACTTTTATGTCGGACGAATTAGATTTTCTGCTTCCTCTTCTTAGCATTTTCGGATGCTATATTTAGTGTACTGTGTAACCCATCTGGATTGGTTGCATTTATAGTTGATGTGATCTAGGTGGAATGTATTGAGTGTGGTTTTGCGTGATTCTTATCTGAAAGAAAAAAAAAATTGTATATTTTTACTAAGATGGTCATTATATTTTGATCAGTTTGAATGAACTCTCATGTGGCTTTATTAAGATGGTCATTTTATTTTGATAGTATGAGAGTGAACGATATTTTTGGTCCTATTTTCTTTTGATAGTTTAGGAAAAAGATGTTTTGACCCTATTCCTCATTGTATAGTTGGATTATGTGGTGTTTGTGAGGGAGAGGAATGCTAGAAGTTTTGAACCTATGAGGATACTTTGCACCAGTTTTTGGCCATTTTTGTTTCGTCTGTTCTTCAAATGGATGTTAGTGCATACTTTAGAGTTGTACATTATACGAAGCAAGCAGGAGCAAAGCTTTTAAATATAGCTAGACAATACAAAGCATCAAAGAAGGAATAGCATCATTTCCCGTTCTTTGTATAGAATTTAGATCTTAGTTTGCCCCCTTCCTCACCTTCTCCCTTCTTCCATCTTGATGCTCATCTCTTCCCTTCTTCCTTCTTGGTGCTTACCTCCTCCCTTCTTCCTTCTTGGTGCTCACCTCCTCCTTAGACCTCTCCTTCTTTGACCTGTTTGTCCGTTCAGCTAGTTTCTAGTTAAATTAAAATTAGCAACTTATCTTATTTCCAAGTCTTAGAGAGGTTTAATTAATCTTTGCCAAGTGATTGAAAAGTCTCACATCAGTATGACAGGCTATCTGTCTCTTTTTTTAATCACATTATTTCGTTCTTAATAACTTGAGAACTATGAATAGGCTTTGTATTGTACCATTGGTTCATGGTCAAGAATGTTGTCCAAGTTATTTTGTGTGAATTTTCATTTTTTTTTCACGAGTTGTATCTCAAAAGGCTCTGTGACTTGTCTATTTTTTGGCTCAGATGCAAATACGTATCATTAATAGACTAAAAAAGGTCGTACCCAGTGCACAAGGCTCCCGCTTTACGCAGGGTCTGGGAGAGGTGATTGTCGGCTAGCCTTACCCCCATTTATGGAGGGGCTGCTCCCAAGTCTCGAACCCGAGACCTACCGCTCATGGGCGAAGGCACTTGCCATCACACCAAGTGCGACCTTTACGTATCATTAATAGACTGCTAGGGGAAAATTGAATTGGTTTATATAATTGCTCAAATGGTCTCATCTTTGTCTTTTACAATGTCGGTTTCGATTGTAGTTCTAGGAGTAACAATTGCAAGTTTCAGACTGCGTGTAGTTCTAGGAGTAACAATGTCGGTCTCGGGTATTACTATTTAGGAATGACCATATAAATAGAATACGAAGTTGCTAACCATTGAATCTACACCTCTCTTTGTGTATGTTTTGTTTCCCTTCTGTGATTTAAGTTAATTGAGGAACCTTAAAACCGTTAGTTGCTATGACTTTATGATTGTGATAACTAAAAGGTATTAGTTAATAACATCAGTGTATTATTTAAACAGTAAGTCACAAGCCATACCCAGGGATATGAACAACCTGGATACTGAAAATTATTATACAAGCCATACTTAAGGGGAGAGAGTGCAAGTTTACCTTCACTCTTTTGTCATTATCACAAGCCATACCCAAGGATAGCAGCAACCTAGATATCACCAGTTCAAGTTTCTATTACTAGTGGTGAAACACGACTTGCAATGTAAGTTACAGGTTGCAAGTTGCGTTTCATCAGTTACAGTAACTGACAAGCAATACCCACAGATAATGAGCTACAGTCATGGGCCATGGTTCACTGTTCTTGGGTTGTGTGGGTCATGAGCAATAATTTTTAAATTAATTGAATTGCTTATTTGAAATCCTATGTCAAGTTAACCAAATGGATCTGAAAATCTAAATCCATCCAGACCCTTGAGATCAACGAAAAATCTTCATTTGATAGGTATGCTGATATATACAATGTTTTGATTTTCATGTGTGTAATTTAGTGAAGATGGTTGAACTCTTTGATGCTTTCAGTAAAAGATAATACTGTGTCTCCTGAGGTATATTGTCTTAGTGCCATGTAGAATGGTTTTGTTGATTTTTCGCTGTTATAAACTGTAATCAGGAACTCAGCCGGAATCCACATTGTTGGATGATTTGAAAGAGCAGGAAGATGTACTTAATCAATCTGTTGGGCAGCTTGAAAGTTCGGAGGCAACAAGATCTGCCTTGGTTTTGCAGCTTAAAGAAGCACTCCAGGATCAAGTACAAATCTTTTTTCTATTCCACTTATGTTATCACTTCTGCTTCTGTGGTTTTGTTTAAGATTTCAGATACTGATGTATGCTTGCTAATATAACTGTTACAGGAATCAAAGCTGGAAGTTGTTCGCACTCAAGTGCAGGTAAGAGTACCTTACTAATCTCTATTTAGCCCTCTTAAAATTAAGAAGTCTAAATTTATTGGAAATGGTGTGCATTTACAAAGCCTTTATAATTTCATTTACGAAAGTTTTTATCTCTGAATGTTATCGAGATCAGCTAGTCATCAACACCAGTTCCTCATAATCTTTTCTAGCTAACAGAAATTGTGGTATTATAAACCCAGCACCTTGATTCTGTTGATAATGAAATCTTGAGTTTGATTCCTGCATCCCTCAAATGTCGATATCTATTGATTGAAAGGGCTAGATGATGTTTGTATAAGAATTAATTTGGTTGTGTTTTGTAGGAAAAAGTTAGCTTGAAGGTAAACTAAACTGTGGGAAAACTGAATCTTGATGTGACTCCCTTCTGTGCGTGTGTATATATTGTAGCTGAGAATGGAATATGATACATTTGTATCAACTTTAGGTCTTAATTACCATATGCATTTAGATGTGCATATATCCAAGACAATTAATTATGATGAGCTGTCAAGAGTGTTTAGTTCGTTAGTGATGCTAGTTTGTATTTTGACGCATATGCTCTCTCTTTTTCTTTACTTTTGTTTGCTTCAAATCTTTCCTATGTCAATTCTAATTTCTAATTTTAACCCAATTCAGTTTGGTTCAAATCTGTCCTGTATCAGTTCTAGGTCTCTCTTCGATGCAACTGATCTATTGAGCGGTTCTGTTTTTAGTATGTGTATTGTCTTTTGTCCTTTTGCAGATGGGTTTTTGCGTGAGCAAGTTTTAGAAATCATAATCTTGAGATGAGTTGAGAAAACAACTTATTTAGAAGCATATTAAGTCCCAGAATAGAAGTAATATTGAATTGAAAGACAATTTTAAATTTTGATTAAAAAGTTCTACGATTTTAAATTTGCCCGGAAAATTTTAATTGAATTTGGGTCTGTAATAATGTCATCAACATGCATCAATTTTGGCTTACTCTCAGACTGACTCTGTAAAAGAAAATAAATAAGTAAAATGTTTAAGGCATATAAATTTCTAAGATATTTGATTAATAAACTTTTCCCATCTGACCGTATGTTCATTTTTTACGACTTTAAATAGAAATATTATTTCGTTGAGTTTTTAGGTTGATATAAAATGATCTCTAAACTTGTTTTTTAACTGTACATTAAAATACGGGCAATACCTTTCCTCATAATTTACAATTTTTTTCTTTTTTCGTATGGCCTCTCAGGCATTGGCAGTGATAAAGATGTAAGAGTCTTCGACTCTAAGTTGAAAGAGATTTTTGAGTGTACCTGGAATACGAGACGGTACACCACGTGTCATAATATATGTGGAGGGACATGAGAAATATGCCCTAAAAGTGGGACATATCAACCATGTCGTCCATTTATATTATGACATGGGGTGCACCACTTTGTGTTCTGGATACAAATAAAAATGTCTCCTAAGTTGGGACTTAGCTGGGGTTGGGCGGTAATTATTTTGCTGGAGCTTTTAATATGTATGTGTTGGGGGTAAAGCTTCCCTTGACTACTCCTGCATATCTCTGAGAAGCAAATGCAATCTTTTATTTTTGTTCTTTGGAAACAACCCATGGATGTAGACAGTCTGCGAAGTACAACAATAATGTGAAGAAATAGTTAGTGTAGGTCTTGTAAACACCCTACTGTTTACTATTTACGGATGATTGAGTTAATTTACTGGTTTTTAGAAAAAAAATCTGGCATCACACTGGCCTACGGTCTCACACCGAAGGTGCCTTGGAATCACTCCAAGGTGGTTGTGCCTCACAACACAAGCAGGAAACCCAAAGTTTACTTATTTTCAAAAGCTTACAAAGTAGCCCTTTTTATAGGCTAGTTGGTACATGGACATGGAAAGATCCACATTAATATACACAAGTATTTTAAAGACTAAATTTATGACACCTAATAATTAATATTGTAACATAGAGAGACGCAAACTCAAAGAACTTGCAGACTAACTGCATTTATTACAAAAGAAAGTAGAAAGACTTTGAATTTATAACTTGGCTCCTCTATCGTATTGGTTCTTGTCCTATACTTTAACCTCACCTTGCTTAGATGCTGTCTTGGTTCTTGGCTTGATTCACTTGAGGATCTATGGTAATAAAACTGACAGAAAGAACTCCCTCTTCTTCGGCTTTGTGACTAACACAAAATTGAATAACCGTAAGTGCCTTTAGTACTGTAGGCTCAAGTTGCTCAAGTTTTTCTGAAATCTCGTAGCATGTTCTTGATTTCATTTGCAGCAAGCTGGGAGTGAGAGCCTTCTGTTTTAGGGATGATTGAGCTAATTTGGTTTAGCTAATTTAAGGGTGCTGATTGAGCTAATTTATTTGCTTTGATTGAGCTCATTTGGATGATCTCTGTGTTGGGTTTTTTGCTCAAAATTAGGATGATGCAATAAATTAGGTTTGTGTTACCTATTTGGTTTTGATGTCCTATTTGGATTTGGTTTTGACTTCTTAGTTAGTTTCCTTGGTGGAGAGATTTTGTTAATTACCTATTTGATTAGGATTTAGATTTATTTCCTATTAGGATTCTTATTATAACCTAAGTCCTATGCACTATAAATAGGACCTTAGGGTTAGTGTATTTTGTGTGGCTCATTCGTGTGACAATTTGGTGAGAATCAATTGGTGAGTTAGAGAGCACTTTGGGAGAATCTTCTCTGTTTGTTTGGGTTCTCTACTCATTTGGTTTAGGGTTTGTAATTTGTGGGATTTGGGTTGTGAGAGTTTAAACACTCTTTTGTAATCTCCGTTTGTTTAGTGAAATTCCTCGCCGTGCTTCGCCCGTGGAGTAGGCTTTACGCCGAACCACGTAAATCTCTTGTGTCAGTTTGAGATTGTTTGTTTTAGTTTTCACCTACGATGTTGATATTTGGTACTTTGTTATAATTCGCTTCCGTTTGCGCATAAAAGTATAACACTCTGAATTTTCATTATTTTTCATTTTATTTATGGAACCAGTAGGCTGTATATTATTACTCAGTTGAATCAATGAAAAATATGATCCTTCCCCCCACCCCCTTCTTTATTATCCATCAAAGATAAAAGAAGTCCTCAGGAGTGATGTTAGAATCACAGAAATTTAGTGTTCCTGCCCTGTCAATATTCTAATAGTCCTTTTTCTTGAGAAGCATTATGGAAGCTATATAGTGAAGCTCTCGGAGCTCCAAGTAGTTCCAGTGCCTTGGCTTCTAGAACTGGCCATGCAAGGATGTCAAATGGAGACACTGATTTAGGTAGCCCTCATTTAACTCCAAATAGCAAGCGAAGTCCCAAGGTTCCCAGGAGACGGATGAGGCAATAAGAATAAGCTGATTACTCTTGGACAATAACACTTGCAACATCAGTTAAAGTGATATGTCCTCCCCTAATTAAATCTTCTAGTTCCAACATTACGAATTTGAGCTAATCTTACATGGAGAAATCTTCACTTTGCTTTTTACAGTGAGGTTGATCATTTATTGTTTCCAAGTTATAAATCTACTCATCGGGTTTGAATATCTGCTGAAAGGTGTAACAATATCAACAATATCTTTTCTTTTTCCTTTGTGGTGATGCACTTATTAGGAGACTCAAATGGTTTGTCTGTTTATAAAGTTGGTCCGGAGCAAAGCGTATCAAACCATGTCTTATAATGCAATTCCTTTATGTGCTAGCTACTCCCTGTGATTAATAGGAACTATTTGTTTCCATGCAGGTTGCTCGACATCAGATTGAGAGGGTAGGTAATATTAAAAGGAGACTGAACCCCGAAAGCAATATCGTTAACATGACACCTGAGTCTACCAGGGGTTTAGAACCAAATATACCATTACTTCAACAAACTGGCATCCCACCTCAGCCTCCAACGCAGTCCGTGCTTTCTTTTGCCCCTGTCAAAATTACTGATGAAGAGAACAAGAAAGCAGCGGCAGCTGCTGTTGCTGCTAAGCTTGCTGCGTCTACATCTTCTGCACAAATGTTAACGTCTGTTCTTTCATCTCTTGTTGCTGAAGAAGCTGCCTCGATGACCGGTAGCCTAACATCAGCTGGATTTACATCAGGATTATCCATGTTTCCTCCAGAAAAACGGCCCAAGCTTGAGAAACAAATGTCTGATGTTAACAATCCTGATGGTGGCAATGCAGCCTATTTTACGTCTCTCCAGCAGGCAATGACCAGTGTTCCAATTGCGTCCTCAGCAACGATGCAGCCCATGTCCCAAAGTAACCAGATGCAAAATCCTTTTGGTCCGCCACCACCACCTCCAGCGCCATCACCGTCTACTGCAACTCCACCAGCGAATCAATACGTCCAATCCTCTGGTCTTATGGTGGGTGGAGTTCCTTATGGATATGGATCAAATACTTTACCACCTCCACCCCCCATACCTCCACATATTTCAATGAGCATGTCGAGGCCCAGTCAGCAGCAACAGCAGTCGCAGCCTCAGCAGCAGCAACAACAGCAGCAGTTGCAGCCGGCCACTGGGGGTTATTATCGGCCACTGGGTATGGGGTTCTATGGGCAAAGTAATCAGTCAAATACGCAGCCAGTACCTCGACAGTAAGTTGTTTATTTCACCTAGTAAGAATTTCCCATCCTGGATCTCGGGCAAAACCAGCGTAGGTACCCAAAACTTTTGGTGACAACATCGTCATGGAAATCTATGGAGCCGGTGGAATTTCTCAGAGGCATTGTGTTATTATGTAAATTAGTAGAGAGTAGCGTCTGGTCTTTTTAAACACCTAGGTCCACCTGCCCCTTGCCAATTTATGCACAGAGTCCTTTGATGTGTCGTAGAACACGTAAATTTTCGCGGTAGCTATATTTCATATTGACATGAAGTGCCTAACTTGAAGGTACCTGTGCAAACTTCATTGGCGTTGTAAACATCGTTTGGGGCATATTACTAAATGCGTACTTTAAATCTTGGATATGCCTTTACCTTGATAGTGTTTCTTCAGCTGCTTCCGGGAGGTTGCGTCCCGATCGACATTCAGAAGATGAGTAGTATTGGGAGATGCATTTCGTCGACTCCCCTCTCGAGTGGGCTGATGCTGCTTTCTTGGCTACAATTGTGCTTTATACACTAGTTATAAATTTGTAGCATTCACACTTTTTTTTATTCTTTTATACACCGTGTTAATTTTAGGCGGGGTGTGGATAGCATCTCCCATAAAAATTGGGCTGAGCCGGCCTTGAATTTTTTTGGGCTCTTGTCGGGCCTCGGTGTCAATCAAGAGGACCTGAATTTTATTAGAAAGAGGAAATTGTAGCAATGGTCATTCAACTTTAATTTAATTGGTACAATGGCCAATCAACTAAAATCTATGACTATTAGTCCCTTAACTTATCAAAATGTGCAGCTATGGTTCTTTTTGTCAACTCCGTATAACTTTTGTCAAAATAAGTCACATGCCACATAGGCTGAAAAAATGGGCAAATATGGAAAACCAAATGAAAAAAAAAATTGTAGCAATGGTCCATCAACGTTGACTCAATTGAAGAAATGACCCCTTAACTCTAACCTAATTGAAGCAATGATCTCTCAATTTTAACCTAATTATAACAATGGTCCTTCCAACATGAGTCATTTTGACGAGTTGACAAAAATTATTATATATGCACGTTTTGATGAGTTTAGGGACCAAGGGTCATGGATTTGTAATTAAGGAATCATTGTTTCAAGGGAACTTTAACGAAAAGCACCTGGTACTGTTCACTTTAACGAAAAACCACATTTTTACACTAAAAAGTCAATCCTGTTACTATTCACTTTACCCTTTATTTTGTCCTTATCATTAAAACTCAAAGTTTTCAAGCCCTTTTCATTAGTTTTCCTTTGTTTGAATTGGATTAAAATTGAGAGACTGATGCTATAATTTTTTCATTTAGAAAATATGAAGAAATTAAGGACTTGTGATATCCAATCTGAAAACATATCACATTTGTAAGATAAATTAGGTAAATTAGGTAGCAAGATCACTATAAGATGTGTACATGCCAACTAGGTTGGCTATTGGCACCCACACACTTCATTTTGCTGGGAAATCGTCTTGCTATTGATTTTCTTTGAACAAAACATAATGGAGTAATATGGGAGACTAGATGACGGCACACCAAATAAAATTAGACTTTCGTCCTATATAAATATTTTTTTTTTACGTGTATTGAAAACACTTACCACATGGTGTATTGGGGCTCGTTTACAAATGTTTTTAAAATAACTGAAAATGTTTTGGTGAAAATATTTTTGAAACTAATCCTCAGTAAACAAGTGGATCTTAAAAAAGCACTTTTAAGTGCTTCCTGCAAGAAATATATATTTGATACTTCTTCCAAAAAACACTTAAAGTGTTTTTCGAACACAAAGTCAATTTCACCAAAAACTCTTTCAGGTATTTTAAAAAACACTTCCAAACGAACTCTTATTCCATATGTTATGTATATGTAGGCGACAATGTTATACACTCCATTTTTAAATACTCATACGTTATAATGTGAGTGGAATAATAACACTCAGGATGATGTTATCCGCACTAAAACTATTTACTTTTTGTGTATAGCGAAAGATTGTCCAAATGCATGGGCATGTAAACAAGAAAAGAATTTAAATTGGTCTACCGAAGATGAGCAAACGAAAGGCTTTCTTAAAAATTCTCCTAGAATCAAGAATGAGTTTTTGTTCTAGACATGCTAGATCATGAATTAGTAATTGCATCTAATTTCTAAAAAAATCAATTTTTTCGAACCTTCAACTTTCCAAAACTGAATACAATCATCATTCAGACAATTATAAGCTAAATCCCTAACCTTCACTTAATTTATCGAGAAATAAATAGTTGAGATTAAAATTAAAGAATCTAATATAAGATAAACACGATTACTTCTGAACATTAAAATAAAAATTCTGAAAATCAAATCTAAGATAAATACAATTACTTCTTATAACATGATTACTTCTATACATTAAAATAAGAGTTCTAAATCAAATCTAAGATAAACACTATTCCTTCTGATAACACGATTACTTCTGAACAAGTAAGAACAAAAAAAAAAACAAAAACAAAAAAACAAAAAAAAAAAGCTGCAAGCTTTAAAACGTTATAGGCACGTCACCTCGGCTGTGCTCGCATTGAATTGGCGTCAAACTCTGGATTCAGAAAGTCGTCTTCACCAATACAATACTCTGAATAAACACACACACACAGAATCGATAGATATACAATTTTTTGATTTTTCAGAATTTTGGGTTGAAGAATAAAGTCACATATAGAAGAGCAAGCTATTCGATTCGATTGTCAGCACAAAAATCACTGAAGAACGAAAGGCTATTCAGTTTTGGGGTCGTCTGCGGAAGCCATAGGTAACGTAAGGTGAGGCGTCAGCAATCCTCTGTCTTCTCCTTCTTCTTCAACTTTTGATTTGTTGGTATTTCTTCGTTTTTGCTAATGTAAACTTGATTTATGGGCCTGAATTGGAAGATGACACAAACCCATTTGATATTCCGAACTGAATCCGAGTTTTTTCAGTGTTAGGGTTTATGGAATTGAAATTTGTGGGTGTATCTCAGTAGCTCTGGGACTGTATGCAGTAGTGGATTAGTCTGAAATTGCACTTATTTAGTGGTTGGGATTTAAGTAATGTGCTTAAGGGTTTGTGATTTGGTTTTCGATTGGGTGGAAAGTTGTTAGCTTTAATGGAAGTTTGGAGAGAATGTAGTATTGGGTTGTTTGCCAGTGTGTGAAAGATGCTGCATTTGGCTTGTAACAACGCGACTGATGAGATGATTTGTTTGAAAATGCAGTCTGATTATATACGAAGCGCCATGGCGTCGGCAACTTTGAGGAAAAGGTTTCATCATGGGGATGTGGATGGGAAAAAGATGGAGCATTTGGAGACGTCGGAGTCAGATGAACTTAATGTGCCTCTACTGGGAAATTATTCAGATAGGCGTGCAGAGGTGAGGCTTTTATTTGTTCATTTAAATGGAGGATAGGATTTTTATTTTTTTTCAGTAATAGTTATTTTTGGCCTTTTGTGATTGATATCTTTTTGGGATGCACCACAGGAAACGACGCTTGAAGAGATCTGGGATGATGAGCGGAGAAAGGAACACCTCCATTGGACCCTTCTGTTTTCTCAGTTGATTGCGCAGTGGGCACGGTGGTTAGGTATTCAAGATTTTTGTTGTCAATAAGACTTTACCGTTTTACTGGAAAGCTTTTCTCAACTTTGCCCATAAGTGATGGGGCATTATACAGCTAGATTTTTAGAACATGATCTAACCAAATAAACAGCAACTATGGAATCATTCTTAGAAAGGTACCCACTTGATAAGCAACCATTTAATTAAGTGATATGATTCCTGGTCAGTCGTTCTATGATTTCATCAAATTTCAAGTGTTAGGTTACTGAAATGTCCTAAAGGTTGGCAATATTTTCATTGGACGAGTTAAAGTACCCTGAGGATCATTCAAAATTCTGTTGAGGAGTTTGATATAGTTAAATTTGATAAGAGTCAAGACACAGCTCATTCCACATATTTCGGATCGTGATCATTATACTGTTCATACTATGTGAATTTTGTTCTGTATTTTATATAGTGGAAATATACTTATAGTTTTGGAACTTAATTTTTCTGGTTTTCTCTTTTGTAGCAAATATTGTTCTTGGATCTGGATCACTTATTGGTCGGCTTTTGACCTTCTCTTCAACTACACAAAATGGAGAAAGTGCTAAGTTGTTTGCTCCTCCTCTTAGTCCTCTGCAAGTATGTCCAATGAAATGATATGATCTTTATAACCTTTGAGAAATGAAATGTCTTTACCTTTATGATATTTTTTTTCTTTCTCTTGGGTTATATTCAAGGGGTGTGGTCTCATTTAAAAGCTCTCTATCATACATTTTCAAGGAGTGTGGGCTGGTTTAAAATTTAAGTTTATGAATTTGGAACTGTGAAAGTTAACTTTGGCTTACTAACTCTGGGGAGTCAGAGTAAGGACTGTAGAATACTTCATCATTAATGGGTGTGCTTGTGATGAAAATTACAATCTGTTATTAGAAGCTGGTTTCCAATTGCTTTGCAAGCTGGTAGTTTCTTATTTGGCTTTTCATTTTTCTTTTGATTCTGGGCTTGGAGGATGGTGTAATTCCTTCTAGTAGATCTCTTCTTTGATCTTGACCCTCCAATTTGATTTTTAGTTGTTAGGGGAACATATCCGTAATATTGATGTTTGGAACAACGGAATGACAACGATTTATACTGTTTTTTCATCATGGATGTGTATATATGGTATAATATATATTTTTTTAATATGAGGTTCACTTGTGTGGGTGTTTGTGCCCTCTAGGAAGCAAGACTCAGATATCTACGACAAAGGCTTCAAGTACCCTTTGATGGTTCTCGTGTGGAGCATCAAGTAGGTCTTTTTTTTCCATTTCACAGCATTTTGATCATTTTTCTGTTTGTGTTACTAGTACTACTGTATCACACTTACTGTGGGCTATTAGTATCATTATTTTCTTTTATTTTGGTTGACTTCATGCCCAAAATGTCTAAACTTGTGCTCTTCGTTCAGACAAATGTAAGTATTTACAGTTAGTTGGTTTGTTTAACTTTAGTTCCATCCCAAGATGTGCATGCATCCCTGGTATTATTTTCATACTAATTCTGGATGCAATCGCCATGAAGAAATTGGGAAAATATTGAACAATGTTTTTGGAATGATACTATTCTATATCTTCTTTATATTGTACCTTAGGATAGCCTCCTCCTGTGAGTTTAATGAAAATTTTGGATGCAGCCATGCTGGTTTTAAAACTTTACAAACTTCTCATAGTTGATTTTTCTAGACTGAAAATTGATTATGATGATAAACAATGTCCAAGTGATTTTAAAAAAAATAGAAGAGTTGTTTGTACTATTACTGGACATTGAATTAATCAATTTAGTTTTGTTGTTTCAATTTTAAACACAAATTGAGTTTGTTAATTGCAGGATGCGCTCTTACAGTTATGGAGGTTGGCTTATCCGGATAAGGAGCTCCCACCTCTTAAATCAGACCTTTGGAAACAGATGGGTTGGCAAGGTTCAGACCCTTCAACAGATTTTAGGTGTGTAGTTTAAACGAGATGAAATTATAGTGATGTGAGTCACATATATTTTTGTTTCATATTTCCTTTGTGAAAGAAAATGATAACGAGAAATTTCAAACTTTATTTGCAGAGGTGGGGGATTTATATCATTGGAGAATCTTATCTTTTTTGCCCAGCAGTATCCGGTTTGTCTCTTTCTAACTTAATTTATTTTTTTCAATTATAATAGGCTGGTAGGTTCTATTTCATTTTAGCAAATAAATCTCTCAATAGTAGATAAAAAAATTGTATGCCTTTGATATATTTTTCTGTTACTTTGAGATTTATCCCGTGTTTTCTTTAAACCTTTAATTTATTAAACTTGAGCCATCCAAATTCTTTGCCCCTTTCACTGTTCTGATGAATGTGATTTTTATGATTTACAATGAACACTGATTACTACATAAGTAAACTTTCATTGCAAGGCTGAGTGGAGAATCCTTGCTGCATTTGAAGTTTTGGGTTTCACAAATATTAATGGTTCTGAAGTTGGAAATTTTCCTCGGTGCTTTGACTTTTAGAGAAAGCCTCTGTGATAAGGATGAAAATATCGGCCTTGTCTGAGATATCAGTAGATTCAGTGCTCAAAGTTATAAAATATCGACAAATATTATAGCGGGGGTAGAGTTTCAGTGTCCCACATTTGTAGCGGTGTTATCAATGCAGATATTGGTGCTATTTTGGATGCCAGCCCTTTGATAAACTGGAAGTCTTGCCCTTTTTTATATTTTGGTGAATTAGTACCCTTCATCATCTTCGCTTCAAAGAAAAGAAGGGTTTGAGTTCATTCTATTACTTACATGAGAGGAATGCTTTTGGTTTTTGATGCTGGGATTGTTGGGTTAAGTGCTCAAAGGAGATGCATTTTTCTTATTGTTATAACTTATAACCAGAATAATACCACTCCCTTCAGATTTACTTTCTTAGTCTGTCTGTCTATCTTTGTTTCCCAGCATCATGCTTGCAAGACATTCTGTCTTACATTTCTCTCGTATGTTCAAAACTTGTAGGTTATTGCATACATGATGCATGTGCATAGAAATATTGTCCTTTCAATGCTTTAATGTGTATGGGTGTCAAAATATTGCTTTCTTTTGAATGTAGCGTGCAAGACTTTCTATTTTAATTAAGTTTTCATTTTGTTCCATGTTTCTGCAGAAGTCATGAAAGGGTTGATGAGTTTCTGATTTGATCATCTTACAGGAATCATTCCAGAGATTGTTGCACAAACAAGATGGAACTAGAGCTGACTGGGAATATCCCTTTGCTGTAGCTGGCATCAATATTTCTTTTGTCTTGGCACAAATGTTGGATCTTCAATCAGGTACCGTTAAATTTTTAAGCGAGAGGATGGACGATCTTAACCATTTGACAAGAATGCATCAGCTTAGCATGTTTATCTGAAGAGTTCTTTGTTTCCTCCCTCAAATTCTGAACGCTGATGCTGTGTTTATAAATAAATAATCGGATATATTTTCTTGCAGCAAAGCCAACTACTTTGGCTGGAATCCGTTTTCTCGAACTGCTTGAAGAAGATGAGATGGCATTTGACAAACTTTATTGTGTAGCCTTCCAGATGATGGATGCTCAATGGCTCGCAAAGCGTGCTTCTTATATGGACTTCAACGTAAATCATTGTCACTCCGCTCACGAATTTAAGATGCAAAGCACTGTATTCTTCTTATTCTGATTCTGTTTTTAATTTTTTCCAGGATGTTATGAAGTCTACAACAAGTCAGTTGGAACGCGAGCTTGCACTCGAGGATGTCTCCAGTGTAAAGGATTTACCAGCATACAATCTGTTGAGAAGATGATCCCTCTCTTTTGTAAACTTCTAACTTTAGTGCTCTCACCATCTGTAATTCTATCTGAGAAGTTACATGTGCAATTTTCTTTCGTCCAAGTGCCATATCATCATCAAGGTTATGACATATTAATATTTCCCTTCTCATTGATGAAGGGGTCGGTAAATTTCAGGTTCCCCGCCCTGTTCGGTTAAAGTCTTGTCTCGTGATGGTTTACCCTGTCCTCCGGCACAACGGGGTCGGAGGATGGGCCATTTTTTTTCTCCCCCTTTCTTTTGGAAGCCATTTTTAGCTATGATGGAGCTGCGAGCCATCTGGGAGGATTATACCTCTGTGTTTTGGTCCAAGTTTCATGTGTTTCTTTCTACGCCTCACCTATGTGGGATTTTATTGTTCCGCTGTGCTGCTTCCCGCTTTTTAAATAAATTTAGTGTAATTATCCTATTGCTTGTCGACACAAAAATGCCAACGGCCATTTTGTTTACCACCCAAAAAAGGGCCAGTGACTATTTGGCTTAGCGGTACCTAGAGTCCATGACTCTACTTTGTTGAGAATGCTCTCATAAATGAAACTTGTTTGAATCAAAGAAAAATTTTGTGTAATTATCCTATTGTTTGTCGACAAAAAAACGCCAATGGCCACTTTATTTACCGCCGAAAAATGCAAATGACTATTTGGTTTAGCGGTATCTGGAGTCCTTGACTCCACTCTGTTGAGAATGCTCTAATGTCCCTCAATTTCATAACGAAAGTCATTTGAATCAAATAAAAATGAAGGGCAAAATGGAAAACACAATTAACCCTCAAAAGATCCTCTGCTCGCACGAAGTGTTACTTCTGTGCGTCTTTCTCGTGGTGGGACTAGAACAATTGAAGGACGATAAAAATCAGACATTTCTTCATGTGTCGGGATTCGATTCTTCGTTATTTGTTCGACCCCACCTGCTAACGCGGTTACGAGCTATATCTACCTGTAGATGTTGATACATGTTTTAGTTTCTTGGTTCTGAAGAAAGGTTCTTTCAGTATGTCATGTTAATTTTAGTGAAGGATGCATAGAAAACAATCAAATATTAATTCTACCTGTTTATCCCAATCAGTCTTGTAGGTGAGTATCATTAGCACAATAGTTTGGACTAATGTTCCAAACAACATTCCAATCCAAACACCCTGCAGAAGAGGATTGATAAAATGAGTTATTGCAAAGAGCAAATCGAAGAGAAAACACGACTATTGAAGTGATTTGGTAGGGGGCTCGTTCGATAACCATTTCAACGTCACAAAACATGCATCGGACTCCAGTCTCAAAACCCAGTATCGGGGACCCCAAACGAACCCTAACAAAAATTAGACTGAGTGAGAAGAAGATAGAGAGAGTAGCTTACTTTGACTTGCATTTTTAGAGGCCAACCAAGCACAACTCCAACAGGGATCCCTATAACGTAATAGCAGCCTAGGTTCACATATGCTACATATTTCTGCCATCCAGCTCCCAGAGCAACTCCTGTCGATGAAAGATTCGTTACGTTATGAACTCTTCAAGATTTATAATACGTTCCTTCGGAAACAAGAAATGTTCATGATAATTGCAATGTACTAAGTTAACTAATCAACTGGTACTTGAAGACACAGAAGGAAATTGTTTTCTTCATGGTATCGACCTACCTAATCTAGGCGAAATAATACGATTACGTATTTTAGAGAAATGGAAACAGTACCAGAGAGCACGGGTTGAACGCTGTTCAACAGTATGGAGAAGGCCAACAAAGGAGACAATTCAGCAACCATGTCAGCTACAGCCTCATCGTTGGTGAAAATGTACGCAAGTTTTTTCCTCAAGAATAAGAAAAGCACGAAAAGCACCAATCCAATGGAGAGTGATACCGACACAATAACCACAATCGAGAACTTTGCCGCCTTTGAGCTACCTCTTCCAAGCTCGTTCGACACTCGTACACTAGTGAAAGATATCAAGCACACTTCAGTACAACAGTACATTACATAAAAACATATGAAGTTCTAAGAATATGTCAAAGAGCGTATATTCAAAAGTGAGGCATTGCTCCGATGAAGATCTTATATAATTTTCATCGTGTTCGCAGAGAACAATTTTCTGAAGAACGAGAATAAGTACCTTGCTGTAGCCAGGAAACCGAGAGATATCATCATTTCCCACCCCACGATGTTGAGGCTGCAATTATGTCGGAAAATTTAGCATTGAAAACAGTTGGATGATCAGAGATTAGGATCACAAGGAAGAGGAAGGCTCTAAAACTTACCAAATAGATAGGGCATCGATAGAAACTTCAGCGCTTTCCATGTTTCCCGTTAAAAGGACCAAGATTGTGTTGTACCAAAGCTCAAGACTGTAAATGAATAACAGTTATGTGATTTGTGTCTATGTGAAAGCACCTAGTTCATAAGGCCTCCATGCAGATACTATCAATGACCGAAATCAGTAAATTTATAACAACTTATACGTGCGCACTTAAAGAAACCTATGGAATAAGGGACAAAATAAAAGCCGAAACAAATAGAAATTCTTACCAAAGCATAACGCCGGATGACAGAGAAAGCTTGACGACATCCCAGAGATCAGTAAAAGCTAACATTGAGAAGCCTGTCCATGTTTCGGGGCATCCACCACACAGAATAAACAAAAGCTGACCCACGTTGGGTAACCAATATGATATAATCGTCGACACCAACACACCGGGAACCCCAAACTTAAATTTCACACTCAAAAGCCAGCAAAGAAAGATGTGGATTCCAATTGAAACCGCTGACACATATGCAACGATCATATTTTTGCTTTGCGCTTGTAAGTACATTTGGCAGGTAAATGATACAACAAAGGCAAAAAGCACAGGGATTACCCATAGAGAAATATATCCTGCAACTTCTGAAATATTGTCTGCTTGGCCCAAAGCCTCAAAAATGGGGGTTGTAAAGACGAAAAGAGGAATAAGGAATAATGTGCCTACACACAGTACTATCCATGACCTCTGAAGATGTATCCCGAGCATGTTGTACTGTTTTGCACCATACGATTGACCACAGAGAGTTTCCAGCGCACTTGCCATGCCAAGCTGTAGAGTAACAGATTCAGAAACATCGATCAGTCAGATCACACGGAAAAGCCTAGCTGTTATGGTTAAGTTTTCGTAGAGCAGATAACTTCGTGAACTAATTGGTACAGTAGCCATTAGAAAATAACGCTTATTTCACATTTGCCTCTACAATTTGGAAAACAGATGACAAACCAGAATGTAGTTGGGGTAATACATTTTTCAGCTACAAGTTGGGGTACATAGATCATATGCAAATGCAAGTTATAAAGTAAAGAAAACTTGACGAATACTCAATCGCTGATCTTCGAAGCCATTATTATGAATTCGTTCATTTGAAGTACATTAACAACACAACTAAAAACAGTAAGTGAACACGATCTTGAACTAGTCTTTGAGACAACCACGAACTTAAAAAATTTATCTGCTATAAATTTAAGATTTTAGCACTAAACAAAACTATATCTGCTTTAAATGCAACTTCTTTCAAATTAATTCACTGTGGAGTTCAAAAACTGCGAAAAGAAATTGAGAGTGGTATGCCGATTGCAATTGGTCCCCAAGAACATCTGAAAAACAAGATCAAATAAAAGAAATAGTAAAGGGAGCCATAATAAACATACCAAGATGCCGTTTCCGAACCTGACAAGTACTGTGAACACGAGTGAAAAAGCCGCTAACTCCAGAGAGCCAATGTGACCGATAAACGCTTGACTGACGACATTTGTTCCGAAAGACGCAACTCTGGTGAATATAGCAGGGCCAGCCACCAGCCACATCTTCTTGATTTCAATCCATACCCTTCTTTTCAGTGACAATTCCTCTTCGCCATCAATAACTCTAGTCTCTTCTTCCCCGGCACTTGTCTCTTTTACCAAGAGACTCCTTTTAATGTCTTCTCCCATGTGATGTGATCAAGTGAGTCTAGTTACTTGATCTGCAAGGCAAGTGCCAAATATAAATACAACTGCCTTCAGAAAAAAGATTGGATATTATTCTCATGGAAATTGTTTTAATTCATTCTTGCACTACAAGGAGAAAATTTTGGAGACTGGGTTTCTAGTCTGTAAAATTCAGGTCTCCAAATTTGAAGGCTCACAGCCGGTTAACAACGGTGAGAGTGTCAATTCCACATCGGGGAATTACAAACATTTAAAGGTCTTATAAGGAGTTGGACTACTCATTTACTGCGTATTAGTTTTAGAGTGAAATCTCAACTACCGTTTTAGTATCAAAGGAGGTTAACTGACATGTTGAGCTTAACGGCCCACATGATTTCATATTTTTTTTCCGTACAAAATGATAAATACAACAACAACAACAACAAAGCATTATCTCATTAATGAGATCGGCTGTATGAATCCTAGAACGTCAGTTCCCTCGATTTTGCATCAAGTCTTCAGTTAGCTGCAAATACTTCATGCATGTTTTGTGACGTAGAGGGTGAAGTACACTACTTTAATTAACTTGACTAAACTAAGGTTTGCGTTCCCACATTTTATGAAATAGGAGAATTATATTAATATATTTACTCATTAGTATGTGAAATGTCTAATACTTTATTGAAAGACATTGGGTATACTTCTTTTCGCGCCATTGCGGATACGAAACTTGAATTCACTTGGCAACTGTTCCTATCAGAATCGGAAAATAGGATTGATGACCAACAATAAAAAAACAAATGCAAAGCTAAATGATGATGAGCTGTATCAGCTAGAGAGATGGAGAGAGATATAGAGAGATAGGGGTACAATGATCAATTAAATGCAAATTATCGTGAAGCTAGATATGCCACGTAACAACTAGTCAACAGAAACGACAGCCGCACATTGCCTATCAAGTTTGAACCCACCTAACTCCTACCCACCTAAGTCCTTCATTCACAGCAATGTTCCTCAAGTTAGTGAACGTATTCTTGTAATTAATCGACTAGTTACAAATAGTAAAAAGTAACTTAATCACCATACTGAGCAGTTGCTAAAATAACTAGACATCCGCCCAGAACTCGGGTTTTACGTCGAGCTCTGTTCAACTCTTACAAAATGCAGATCGACAGAAAACCAACTATATATCTATACAGACATACGTATAGAAAAACTAAAGCGCTAACTTATCAGTAGCTTAATACGACAACAACCACTCATCAGTCGATAGTTATGAATCATTTCATATTCCTGGTATCCAATCTATATTATCCAACCAACCAATTATGTTTAGAAAATCATACCCAAAAACTTTGCAGCATGGTAAAACAGAGAGAGAGAGCGAGAGAGACTAACATACTGGAGTTGCTTGCAAATTAACCCAATGACACTCCCCAAGCGATGGATGAGTTGGAAGACTAACAGTCGGAGAGAGTTGGAGAGAGAGAGAGAGAGAGACTCATATACTGGAGTTACCTGCAAATTAACCCAATGACAGTCCCCAAGCGATGGATGAATTGGAAGACTAACAGTCAGAGAGAGATGGAGAGTGTGGAGGAGATGTTTACAGAGAGTATGGAGCTGATGAATGAATAAAATAATTGGCCATCACCTCTATTTTGTTGGAATTATGGGCTCTCATTAATATGGTCTATTTTTTTCTGGGAAGTCCAAAATGAGAAAGAAAAAAGAAGAAGATTTGAGTGACGTCGATGGGGTTGAGGGGTAGAACAGCAAGAGATGTTTTGAACGGTCTGAAACCTACCACGTCCGATTAAACCAGTCGCGTCAAAACTGGCCAGAGTAAATGAACCTCATGGGCTATCTACCTTATATAAAAGAAATTATATTTTTCAACTAACTTGATTTTTTTGGACAGTTTGGACTTTGGAGTTTGAATATGGGACGGGTTCACCAATTTGGAAGAATGGTTGTTGGAAACTTTGATGTTAAATTAGGAAGTTGACGCAATTCGGACTCACACAATAGTGCAAAGAGTCAGACTTGATATTCGTGTTGTGTTTTTTATGTTATATCTGATATCTTAACGGATCGTGTCGTGTAACATCCGTTAAATTAAACGGGTAAAATGATTTGACCCGATAATATTAACAGGTAATATGACCTGACCAGTTACCAGTTAAGGAAAATATATTTTAAACCAATAAATAATCAAATGAAAAACATAATACTAAATAAGTATATAGAAAAAATATATAAATGTTCGTAATGACAAGCTTTATAACTTTCATGAAGAGCTTAACTTCGAAATTCGCCAATATAATCATATAAATCATAAATCAAAATTTAACCGTTGATTGTTGTTTACATTTACGCTTCATTGTTCTCATCAAATTTTGTTTTTTCAGATTTTGTTTTTTGAAAACATAATCTATTAGAGTATGCAGAAAGATGAACGGTTTGGATCGTTGATATTATATTCAAAGTTTTACGGTTAGTAAAAATATTGCTTATTGTTATAAAGTTTCTACAAACTATATGACATCGACTCATATTTTAGTTAACCGTAAATATCGAAACGTGATATATATGAACCGTTCATCTTCTTACATCTGCCAGATGATCATGTTTTAAAAATAAATTAAAAAAATGAAATTCAATAAGAAGAATACAATCGACGGTTAAATATAAATTTAAGGTTTATGGATTATAGAGTTGGATTTCAAAGCTGACCCTTTCATGAAAGTTGTAAAGCTTGTCACTATGAGTAATTGTGTGTGTGTATATATATATATATATATATATATATTACATTTTTTACACTTCTACAATAATTATTATTAATTTTATTAATTTTGCCCTCAAATAAGAAACATTATTCATGAGAGTTTGGAGGATTTTAAAAATCTAAAGAGTAAACTGTCGATTTGCCCCCTAAACTTTCACCGAACTTTCGATTTCCCCCCTGAACTTTTCGATTGGAAAATTTCCCCCCTGAACTAATTTTTTTAGCCAATTTGCCCCCTACCGTTAGTTTTTCAAACATTCCATCCAAATTTCTATTAAGTGAGACCATGTGCACAACATATGAGGGTAGTTAAGTCATTTCATTCTTAAAAATGATTAAAAAACTGAAAATTTCCCTCTAATTCATATCCTCAATTTTATTTTTCACTCATTCCTATGTATAAAAAATGACATACGGTGTTATTGTCTTCATGGCATGAACATTCTACTAATTTTACATTATTAAAAAAAATGATTAAACAAAAACAGATCGAAGAAAAGAAAAAAGAAAAAAATACAAAAACCCCAGCCACCACCACTTCCTTTCCGCACCCCCATCACCCACCCCTACGACATCCTCCCCCTACCCTCATCTCCCTCAACTGTAACCCCACTCCCTGATTTGGCCCCACCCTCTGCTACCCCAATGACCCAACCCTCTTCCTGCATCACAAATCTCTCTCTCTCTCTTCCCACTTTCTTCGTTCCTTGCATTGTTCGTAGAATAACAAATAGAGAGGGGAAGGAGGAGTCTGTGTGTGTGGGAAGGGGGAGGACCGGATATGGTGGTTGATGGGTCTCAGGGGTGGGAGGAGGTGGTAATGGTGGGTACAAGGAGATCGGCGGTAGAGGTAAAAAATAGAGGGAATTTTTTTTTTAAAATTTATTTTCAATTTTTTAATCATTTTTAAGAGTGAAATGACTTATCTACCCTCATATGTTGTGCACATGGTCTCACTTAACAGAAATTTGAATGGAATGTTTGAAAAACTAACGGTAGGGGGCAAATTGGCTAAAAAAATTAGTTCAGGGGGGAAATTTTCCAATCGAAAAGTTCAGGGGGGAATCGAAAGTTCGGTGAAAGTTTAGGGGGCAAATCGACAGTTTACTCAAAATCTAAATGATAATGTAAGTGTAACCATTATCTACTCGTGGAGGAATACTGATGAATCAAGAGTGTTTATATATTCTTTCATATTTTTCATACTTGTATGTATGTTTTCTTAGTTCTTGCCTATACAAATATTATACTAGTTTATTTTAATTTGGACAACAAATTAAGTAAAATTTATCCTAGTAATGATAATAAGGAACTCTCATAATAAAAATAAATAATAAATAAAACCTTTTTTTTTAACTTATATAGAATAATAATACAAAACTATATATTTAATATAGAATATATTGTATATATTAATATGGCTATTGTATTTTTTAATAAATCTTTTAGTACTTAAAACTTTAAAATTATCAAAATAATTTTTTTCTTAACGGGTCGAAACAAGTTACCCACGTATTACCCGCGTGTATACCCGTTAAGAACCCATTATTAACGGGTTCTTAACGGGTCACCTGATAATGAGCCGATTGGTTATCGTGTTGATCCGAAACCCCTTATTTTCGTGTTGTTTTTGTGTCATGTCAAAAGCTACAGGGTCTAGCAAAGACAATACTCTTCTTCACTATTGTGATAGAAGATCACTTGTTAAAAGATTTCAACTTTACTCGTTTAATCTAGGGGAACTTTAACGAAAAACTCCTAGTACTGTTCACTTTAACGAAAAATCACATTTTTACACTAAAAAGTCAATCATGGTACTATTCACTTTACTCTTTATTTTATCTTTATCATTAAAACTCAAACCCTTTTCATTAGTTTTCCTTTTAATCTAATACTTCTGTCAAATTTTTTTTTTTTAATAAAAGGTCTCGATGTAGCAATTAGTTTATAATTCAATATGAGCTATCATTAATTAGTAAGGCTTTTCACACTTTTTTAGACTACCCGTGAAATTATTATTATTATTAAAGAAAGAGAAGAGTGTTGGAAATTATTACATAAATTTAGGATTTAGATAGCTTCAAACCCACGTTTAGATTGAACCCAAAATCTAGAGTGGTTTGATCACAGTGAGCACACATGTTCTAACCATCGATATTATTATAGAAGACTATCAGTGAGCACACACTTTGTGTGTGTGAATAATTTCTCTTAATAAGTACATAATTTTTTTAATATTACATAATTACTGTTTTGTCCTCCTTATATAAATATTGTGTATCAAAAGTGAGGGTAAAATTAGAAAAATAAGTATAAAAAAGGGTAAAATAGGGATATGGTTGTCATTTTGTCAAAAGGTACAAAATAACTATTTTGCCCTCATTTTGTCACTAGTGTGTATCAAAAGTAAGGGCAAAATAGGAAAAAACGTGGCAAAAAGTTGACAAAGAGGGTTCTCTTAATAAATAAATTAGCATATGGGCACATACAAAGTATGTGAGAACTTTTTTTATTTTTTATTTTTGAAATAGAAGGAGAGAGGAAGAGAGTGATAGAAAATGTGGAAGTGAGAAGTTTTTTTTTTTATATATATTTTTTAAATTAAAGATATGTTAGGATTACATGTAGATGAGGCTTTGAAAAAAAAACAGCAAAATTTGATTGTGTGAAATTACATTTCTGTCTCATATTTCTTATTCATGTTCTGTTTTAATTAAAGAGTTAAACTAGTAATTTCATAAAATTTTAGTTAACAATGAGTATTTTTATTAATTAGTAAAGATAAATAATAGTATAGATATCCTATGTTTGAAAATCTAGTAATAAAAAACATGCGTGGTTTTGTTTCGTCCAAGTTAATTGTCATGTTTTTGTTTTTATTTATTTTTTCCAACTCATTTGTCCTTTCTATCTTCAGTGATACGACTATTCCTCCCCGTCCTTTTTATGGAATGAGATGTCCATACACGACACGCATCTGGTACAAGACCCCATCTGAAATACTGTATTTGTTGGTTACTTTATGACCAAAAATACAAAAGAATAACAAAAATAAAAGGAATTCACTGGAATGTTCACTTAAAATGTCTAAATGTCTTTTTAATGAAGTTATACAAATCCAAAAAATATTGGTAGGGCAGAATGTAAATGGGTTGCCAATTTTGAAAGAATGGTAGGTGGCATAAGCTTATTTGTTTGGCAAAAAGAGTCCTCCAATATTATGTTAAAATTTTATACACGTTTAGCCGTCTAGTACTTGTCAACATTTTTACAAAAAAAAAAAAAAAAAAAAAAAAAATTCAGACTACGATATTCATGTGCCAAATTTGTTAAAAGGATTATTTTAAAAGTGAGATTTTTTATAGATTCTCTGTCAACTTAGAATTTAACATCTATTTTTATTCCAACATTATAAAATTTATACCAAAAATATAAAGTGATAAAAAACTCGCAAAGAGTTCTACTTTAAAAAAAGTAACTTTAACATTTCTCTTTGTTAATCATTTTGTGTGAAACGGGCTCCATCGAGCTCTTTAGAGAGTGCCCCAAATAACTACAACTCTATTATTGTACTGCAATTGGTGCTCTTTGCCACCTTAACGCTCTTGGGGTGAGAAATTTCTTTCCTTCTTTTCTTCCTAAGTCGAGGTGAAAAAAATACTATTCTACTAATGTTAATCAATATTGATGTTGTCTCCAATTTAATCATTAGTGCAATTCCGTAAGTGTGGGTTTTGTTTACAAAATGTTTGATACAATAAGTAGTGAAACCAATTAACATAAATTGTAGTTAATTAAACATGATGTGAAACTTTACACTCTTCAACATATTTGTCCTTAAATTAATGACGAATTTATTATCACTGAAGAAATTCTTTCTAATCTAGTTAAAAACTGTTGATCCACTGGTCATCTAGGTCTCATCTGGTTGAAAGATTTCAATCAGTTAACTCAATCATAAATAAATAAACCGGCGAGTGAAATAGAAAACTAATTCTCCACCGATAGACTTTACCTTAAAATAACTTATCGAGATCTACTAACAAATATT